CAACTCAGCTCAATTAAGTAGTTGCTCCTAATTATAATGCCAGAAACTTGTCTTTAAAATTTCAGGTATGCATATGTGTGGCACGCAATCACAGGTTACTGGGGTGGTGTTAGGCCTGGTGTGGATGGAATGGAACATTATGAGTCGAAGATGGCATACCCTGTCTCATCTCCGGGAGTTCAATCAAATGAGCCTTGTGATGCTCTCAATAGCATCACTACTAATGGCCTTGGCCTTGTCAATCCTGAGAAAGTTTTCAGCTTTTACAACGAACTCCACTCCTATCTTGCTTCTGCTGGTATTGATGGTGTTAAAGTCGACGTTCAGAATATCCTGGAAACTCTTGGGGCAGGCCATGGTGGAAGAGTGAAACTTGCTAGGAAATATCATCAGGCATTGGAGGCATCTATCTCTAGGAATTTTCCCGACAATGGAATCATATCTTGTATGAGTCACAACACAGATGGTTTGTACAGGTACTTTGATCTGACTACATGATCTTTTTATCAGACATTTTGAAAGACACTTTCATTTAGGTCTAAAAGGTGCCTTTGTGGTGTATGTTACATTGACGATTCCACTTAAATTGGGGCTTTTTGTGGTTGAAATTTCAGCACGAAGCGGGCAGCTGTTATAAGGGCTTCTGATGACTTCTGGCCTAGAGATCCAGCATCACACACAATCCATATTGCATCAGTTGCTTACAATACCATTTTCCTCGGGGAGTTCATGCAGCCTGATTGGGATATGTTTCATGTAAGCTAAAACAAACGCTATAGGTGCCTATATTTGTCCTGTTTCATTACGTTGCACAAACCTAAGGATGTGCTTACCTTCCTTGCTTATAGCTGCTTCTTTCAACTCCCCTCTTGATGATAATTTGTAAATTGTAACACGATGCAGAGCCTACACCCAATGGCTGAATATCATGGAGCTGCCCGTGCAGTGGGTGGATGCGCTATTTATGTCAGGTAAGACTTTTTACTTATCATTTCAAGACTTGTTATGGTTCAAAAGTTTGAATCTATGAAAATTATCCTCTTGTCTATTGATGCAGTGATAAACCTGGTCAGCATGACTTTAATCTACTGAAAAAGCTTGTACTTCCTGATGGTTCAATATTGAGGGCCAAGCTTCCTGGCAGACCAACCAGGGATTGTTTGTTCACTGATCCTGCAAGAGATGGAAAAAGGTAAAAGAATTTGAACATTTCAAGCATTCATGTCCAACTACTACTTTTATATCCTTTTTCTTTCACACGCTCAGTGGGTTGCCCCTTTTCCATTTTCCAGCCTTCTGAAGATATGGAACATGAATGATTTTTCTGGTGTCGTGGGAGTCTTCAACTGTCAGGGAGCTGGGTGGTGTAAGGTTGGAAAGAAGAATCTAATTCACGACGAACAACCAGGCACGACTACTGGTGTCATCAGAGCTAATGATGTTGATTTTATGCCCAAAGTTGCTGGTGATGACTGGACAGGCAACGTCATCCTATATTCCCATCTTGGAGGTATGATCTGCATCCACGGTGTCTTGGTCACACGCCTCTAACAAAACTGTTAATGGCAAGCATTAGTCTTTGTTTCAGCGATGGGGTCTCATGCCATATGAAAAGGATTATTTTGTAAATGTCGTGCATGTATGATTATGATAACTGTCTTGACGGCTATTGCAGGAGAGGTAGTTTATGTCCCTCGGAACACATCATTGCCAGTTACCCTAAAATCCCGGGAATACGAAGTTTTCACGGTAGTACCCGTGAAGGAATTATCAAGCGGAGCCTTGTTTGCCCCTATAGGTCTCATCAAGATGTTCAATTCGGGAGGCGCTATCAAGTGGTTGGAATACGAGACTCTGAGCAGATCGGTGATCTTGAAAATCCGTGGCTGTGGAGTATTTGGGGCGTATTCTTCAGTTCGACCACAAAGAGTACTCGTTGATTCGGAAGACTCGGAATTCAGATATGAAGAATCATCTGGCTTAGTCACCTTCACTTTGCGAGTTCCAGAGGAAGAGTTATACCAATGGAACATAGTGATCGACCTATAGAGTCTCTCCTCTATCGACGATCAGGGTTTCCACGGGTGTTCAAGTTGAAGATATCTACGACTCGGATCGAAACACAAATCCATCATCTATATTTAACTTTGCCATAATGTCCGCTCCATTATTAGGTTCTTAGCAATGAGATGCCCCTTTGTATTAGCTGGAGTTTTCTCCGATTCTCGGAAGTTTGATGGAAAACCCAATTCATGCTTTAGAGAAGTTCCTATGGAACGGGATCTTCTTGAAGAAATAAATGAAATTTTCATCCAACAGGAGTCGAAATTTGGCGCGTCTTCAGGGGATGGGTGGTTTGCGTCTCTAGGTGGAGAAATGATTCGGCTGTCATTTCCGCAGCAACTTCGTTTGATATAAAAGTCACTTCAAACTTTTATTTTGGAATACCCAAATCCAAAAACCTATTTTATATATGATTATCCCCTAAGAATTTAATAATAGAAAAACAAATTTCACGAAGAAAATATCAATGTCCCTGTGTGGAAAGACAAGTTTTATATAGTTTTGCGAAAAGAAAATACCATAGAAAGGTGCCACCCGCAACATTTAGTCAAAAGAGTGGCTTCAAAGGCGATTGAGATGGTACTGATTAGCTGGCAAAGAATTTTCCATGTGATGATAACACACCATCTGAAAAGCCAGCCCACTGTCCGCCATGTGATTGAGTCCGTGAACCTAAGCAGACAAGATCCACGGTCTCGTTCCCATCGCTGGAATCAAACAACAGCTAGCAGATGAAACCGCATCTATCTTTGACGCACGCAGACAAAACCTTTGACTATTGCTAAAAACGACGTTCGGTTTTTAGCATTCTGAGATAGCTCTCGAGAGCATACAACACTCGGATCCCCCCCTGCGAAATGTTTTCGAGGCGTCATTAGACCATTCGGTAATCAGGTTGTTTGAGGTGGGAAAAACCCATCAATCAGGAGCGACTGGTCTTTTGGGACTGAAGCTGTCGGTCGCCCACGGTCGATGAACACTTTTTATTTATTGCTCGTTTGGTTAATTACTAGAATTCCATTGAGATATGGTTCGCACGCTCGCCTTCATCAAATCAAAAACAAATAAACAAAAAGGTGCTTTGAAGAGAACATGTGGTCAGATTCACTCTAGAAATTTGGATGAGCATGAGATGTCGAGGATGAGGGACTGGTCCCTTGAATTTGAGGCCTATGCATCTTGGACCATACACTCAAAAGTGAGTGAACCCTCTGCCTTTGTCCTATACAGAACGAATCTCCCCATGCCGAAAGTTGGGGAGCTCAAGGACCTCCACATGAGTCCCGTCGATAGAGACGTTAAACTTGTTGCGTATCGTATTGCTTGTTGCGGGGTTCATAGCGGTCCTGCGTATAAAGATTGTAAAGCTTTTGAGTTGAAAAATTGATTATGGAATCGAAGCTTCCACCAAAGCCCCAAAGCTCAAGAATCTCTTCAGGAGCAGCAATTTAGCTCTCTCATGCTGCCTCTTGTTTTCCCCTTGCAGGGGTGGTCGTGATGATACACAGTTTTTCAGACTTCATTCATCGTTTCGCGATTCGGAATTTTGTCCCTCTCGTTTTAAAATTCAAACTAGGAAGAAAAGATGGACATACTTATTATTGGGCCTAATACTCAAAAAAACCTCAAACTTTAGCTTTTGTCCCATTTCTACCTTTTGTCTCATAAAAAAACCTCCAACTTTAGGTCATGTTCCGATTCTATCCTAAACTTTTTTTTGTCTCATAAAAAACCCTCAACTTTAAGTCTTGTCCCAATTTTACCCTAAGCTTTTTTTTCGTTCCATGAAAAACCTCAAACTTTTGGTCTTGTCCCAATTTTATCATCTAGTTTCAATTTTACTGTAAAGTTTTTACAGTCTCATAAAAAACCATAAAATTTTACTTGAGTCATAAATCTGACTCCATTAACCCTCCGTCCAAAATTTCTCATTGACAACCAAAAGATAGAAATATCTCAAGCAAGAGTTGTTTTAGTGTCTCAAGCACTCTCCGACCCCGAGAGATGGAACATTCCCAAGCATGAGAGATCAATAAGCGCAAAATCCTGAGGGCGATTTTGACTGAGTATTAATGGAGATCTTTATGAAACAAAAAAATTAGAGTGAAATTGAAACTTGATCTAAAGTTGGAATTTTTTTTATGAGATAAAAAAAGTTTGTGGTAAAATTGGTACTGAACCTAAAGTTAAGGGTTTTTTATGAGACAAAAAAAGTTAAGGGTAGAATTGGGATATGACCTAAAGTTTGAGGTTTTTTATGAGATAAAAGGTAGAAATGGGACAAAAACTAAAATTTGAGGTTTTTTTTTAGTATTAGGCCCTTATTATTGTGAGGAAGAGGATAAAGATAAGGGCATGTCAATAAATGTTGCCTTCGTTTATCATTGTCTGGTGCACAAAAATTGAAGGAACGTCCGGGCTCATCCGTCGAAGCCCTCGTCTCCGGATAAGCATGAAGCCCTTTTTCAAGGCATTACCATGCCATGAGGTCGTTGCCTTATTAGCTTAACCATCGTTCATCTTTGGAAGGAAATATGTCAGAGGAATATATGTACATTGGGGTTGAAATCAAATTATAGAACCAATAGAGATTCGCATTATGCTCGATAGAGTCGAGTGAGAAAAGTTCAAATAAATGTCATGCAAAGAATTCAAGGGTATACTGATTCACCGATTCACGATAAGTACTATTCTAATGTCTCATCAGTTTGTCTACTTTGTTTGGACGCTTGTACTGTGCACATGGGACCGATAAGCCAAATCTTCAATAATTGTCCAACTTGCAGCTCTGCACTCCACTGCCAAAATCTTGATTACCGTTTGGGTAATCGAGATTTTGTATGTCAAGAAGCGTCAAGTTTTATTCTTTATCTATTTCTGTACTCTTGACATGAATGGTCCGTCTTCAGCTGCCCGGGCATCGGTCCAACACGCATCCGACAGCAACACAAAAAAACAACACAGCATTGGGATTAGCAGACGTCATCTTGGCAAGGAGAGTCAGCAAATGGATGCTTTGACAAGCAATTTACTCGAAAGCAAGAACTTCCGTGTGGGTCTCGTTTGTTGACGCTAATAGCCGGTTACTGCTGCCAGTATAGTTGTACCGTCCACAACACTCCCTCAAGTCAAGACCACAGAATCTGAAAGTCCCACAACGTGCCGAGAAAAATCAGCCAAAGCTGGTGCAAAAGGTGAAGGCGACTTCAGTTGGCAACGTTCTTAAGGTAACAAGCATCTAAAACTTTTTGTAAAGTGTAAGATCTTCAAAGCTCTGAGAGAAAAGGGAGGTTAGCTTTTCTGGGGATCCTCTTTTTCGTACAAGTAGTAGGCACCTTTGTCAGTGTTTTGGACTATTAAAGACAGAATCCGTCGAAGTCTTCTTTTCATATCTTTGGATTAAAGATGAGGACTCGACCACTCGCTCACCCACTCACCCATTTGAATTTTACAAGGTTTACAATCATTTGTTTTGGACTTTTCATGTCTATATTGTAAGGTGAAAAATCATGCTCGATGAACGCCCCATGTACGGCTTGGAGGAAGATCTTTTCTTTAAAGCGAGAAGATTTTTATCTCGAAAGTAGGCAGATCTTGTCCTGATTCCTAGAGAGATGGATTTGCATTTGGTAATATTGAGTGCATTTGCTAGTGCTGTGGAAGAAAAAAGGCCCCATGTTTAGATGTCTAGAATAAAAAGAAGCCAATTGATATTACCTGTTTAATCGGTAACTCAATGTTTTAAACTTTTGAGCATATCAATGGGCTCATTTATGAGCTTTCTCACTAAGATATTCCATCACCATGGTTTTGGACTTATACCGTGTTCTCCTGATGGATAAAAGAAAATATATATATAGTAGTTGCTCCCTATACCGTGTGCATACATTCAGCATTAGAGTTGCTAATAATCAAGTTTCCTTCCTTTTTCTACATTAAATGATAGAACCATTACCGCAGGATGTTGTTGATCTGAACCGGTGATTTCTGACGAAACTCTCTAGGATCACTTCTTCAGTTGCTTTCATGTCATTATCAAATATCGACCACACAACCGAAAGGCCATATCCCAATGACTAAGAATGACTGAAATGACTTTTGCTGTCCGGAGAAGAATACATCAACTGCAATTGGTAAGAATGCTATTGCAGATGCTTATACATGGTACAAAATTTCTTCTGATATAAATAACTTTAGCTCCTCCCATTTTTGTGTTTGTCACATGAGTAAGGTAAATCATCGATATTGAATCTTCTATACTGCATAAGAATGGCTGTCCATCACTCCCTCGAGGTCGCCAACGGTACCTTGGACGATGACGGGCGTTTGCGGAGAACCGGTCAGGCTCTCTTTGAATTTTTTTGTGTTATGCATGTATTGTTCCTTCGTGTGCTTTTGAATTTGGATCTGATCCGGGGATCGGTGTATTAAGCACGAATCTAAAGTTGCTCCACTCACTCAGGAACCTTATGGAGTTGCACTGCTCATATCATCACTGCGGTTATTGGAGCTGGAGTCCTGTCTCTAGCTTGGAGTACGGCACAGCTGGGGTGGATAGCGGGGCCGGTGTGCTTGCTCTGTTTTGCGATCGTCACCTACATCTCCGCTTTCCTTCTATCCGATTGTTACCGGTCTCCTGACTCTATCGAAGGAACGCGGAATTATTCTTACATGGATGCGGTTAGAGTAAATCTTGGTAGGAAAACAATTAAATCTTTTACCTACTTTATTATCCGAAATGGTTGTGCGATTTCGCTCGATGTCGATCCTATTATGTTCAGTTGTCCATTTCAGGTACGAAAAGAATGTGGGCATGTGGTTTGCTTCAGTATCTGACCATGTATGGCACAGACATAGCCTACGTTATAACTACTGCAACCTGTATGAGGTACTATTCGCTGAGAAATGTGTAGATATTTTATGCTGGTGAATGTGCCGTGTTTTTTGGTATCTTTCTTGGAGACTGTTAATTTGGCGTTTACCTGGAAAATTTGCATCCCTCTGTGGATGCAGGGCTATTGCGAAATCAAATTGCTATCACAGAGAAGGGCACAATGCTCAGTGTCACTATGGCAGTAGCTTCTACATGCTGCTATTTGGGATTATACAGATCGTAATGTCGCTGATACCGGACATCCACAATATGGAATGGCTTTCAGTTGTTGCCGCGATCATGTCCATCTCTTATTCTTCCACTGGACTAGGACTCGGCTTCGCAAAAGTCATAGGTTGGTTTTTGCTGTCGTCTGTCCAGAATTGAGAGAATACTTGACCTTTTGAAGTGTCTATAATAAAATTTAATCAGTTCCTTTTGCTATCAGATAAAAGGAGGAACAATTTCGTTACTCTCTTAGTATTCTCTAGAGTCCTAGGAGTTCTGCGATGACTCTCTCAATTTCTTGTAAACTCCAGAAAATGGAAGAATTGCGGGAGGGATTGCAGGAGTTCCGGCTGCTAAATTTGAGAAAAAGTTATGGAATGCCTTAGAGGCGCTTGGAGATATTGCTTTTGCGTATCCATACTCACTCGTTCTTCTTGAGATACAGGTGAGCCTTGACTTTATTATTTGAACTGAATCAATTTCTGTTTCAGAACAATCCAAAAGGCCTAGAGGCTCACCGAATCTTGAGTTTCTGTCACATTCAGGACACTTTGAAGTCCCCTCCACCAGAAAACCAGACAATGAAGAGGGCCTCTATGGTCGCAATCTTCATAACCACCTTCTTTTACTTCTGCTGCGGATGCTTTGGATATGCAGCCTTTGGTGACGGAACACCAGGGAATCTCCTGACAGGGATAGTGAACGGGGACGGATTCTTTGAGCCCTTCTGGCTGGTCGACTTTGCAAATGTGTGCATTGTTATCCATTTGGTTGGAGGATACCAGGTATATATATGACTGATACCCGACTTATCGAAAAAAGGAATTGGCCGATACCTGCCTTTAGTTTTTATCTCAATATTAAACTTGTTTTCAATCTTCAATTGGTTATGCACTCTGACAACTGTCAATTTTAGAGCCTCAAACCCTGAAAACACTTGAGAAGAATTAAATCAAAATATTCACAACAGTCATACGCAATTTTTCGCACAAAAAGTTTACAGAGATAGCAGTAAGAGTTTCTTGGTATGATTAAGCCTTTGAAAACATAGTTACATCATTTATGCCGAGTCTCTTCCTTCAGATGTACAGTCAGCCCATATTTGCAGCAGCAGAGAGATGGTTCAGCAGCACATACCCAAATAGCAGATTTGTGAACAAATTCTACACATTCAGGCTTCCCTTGATGCCGGCTATTCGGATGAATCTTTTCAGGCTGTGCTTCCGCACGGTATTTGTCATATCCACAACAGGAATTGCCATGGTCTTTCCTTATTTCAACTCGGTTATAGGAGTGTTGGGTGCGTTGAGCTTCTGGCCCTTGGCGATATATTTTCCAGTGGAGATGTACTTTGTGCAAAAGAAAATCGGTGCATGGACAAGAAAATGGGTCATCCTTAAGATATTTAGCTTAGTCTGCTTTCTTGCGACAGTTTTGAGCTTCATTGGCTCATTTGAGGTACTGATCAGTGCCAAACTAAGCTGAGAAACTGTAATTTTCCTTCCTTATTAAATTACGAAAGGGAAATCAGATGATTAGTTCAACTGTTTTGTTAAGGTGACAAAGGGAGCACCACGGTTCTTCAATTGCTGATGTACTATATATTCGTGTTGCGCACTTATTCAGGGATACGAGCGACATGGAATGAAAAAGCACAAAATGAGCAGGAAACAGGCAATAGTTATGAGGTTCCACCCAAGTGCAGGAAACAGGCAATAGTTATGAGGTTCCATCCAAGCAGATGGTGACGAATACTAGCATGGACTGGCCTATGAATAGATACAATCACACACCTGCATTTACTATTATAAATGGTTGTGACTAATCGGGTTTATAATGGATTGAGTCCTGGAGTTTGGACAAATTTCATGCAAATAATCCTTTCGTCTTTAGAATCTCAACTCCTTCAGATCCCAAGTACAGAATCATTACTCTCACTTGAAGGTGGTTGCTTGAGTTTAGGTAAGAAACAGGAGCTTCTCTCAAATTTTAAACAGCTGAAAAGTGAGAATATACATGTACCCTCTGTTACATGCTTGAGTTGTGTCAATAGCATGCACCGATTATGGTTTGGCCAATCAGTCATCTTTCTAGTTTCTGAATGCTCCTTTAAAAAAATAACGATAATAAATCATGCAGATCGACAAAGAACTACGTCAGTGACAAACAGAAGCTTGAAAATTATTATATTTGATAATTCATCTTCTCAGCTGACAAGATTCTTAAACTCTCATGTCAAGAGTCTTCATAAAAGAGAGGACTGACAATTAGTCCTGGACTGTTAAGATATCAACAGACAGCTGGGACTAAATTGTTCCTGTCAAAGTAATTGCTAAGAAGCAGCAAGCACCAGCCATTCTTGCATTCACAGGATGATTATGTTTCTAATACGTTAGAACTAGGAGTGATAGACCGAGTTCCAGAAAGAACCACACGTGCAACAACCTCAACTTTTGTGAAAGACGAGCTCTTTAATGAGGCAATTATGTGTGACCTTAACAGTTAGCACACCAGCTTTAGCAGAAACCCGATACAGTCAACTACATACACACGCACGCACAGAGAGAGAGAGAGAGAGAGATTTTGACCAAGCATCTTGTGGGTGAGCTACCTGCCCTTCTCTCACACACACCATGGCGTTGAATTCTTTAATTAAATCATGCACCTTTGATGGTAACTCGGGCTATAGCGTACAGAGCCACATACAAGGCAAACCCTTAATATAAGAAGACGCCTCCCTTTATTAAAAACCACACACCATTTCTTCACATTCACATTCATGTTAGAAAATTCGCCAAACAACAGTCTCGCTTGATTTTCTTTTCAAGAAGCGCACAAAGGAGGGAAAAAATATCCTTGAAAAGAGTGTAAGTAGAGAAATCATCTTCATTTGCCTTTTTCATCCAAAACTATCGACTCATTCATCTATCCGTACCATAGCATCAGAATTTCCTAAAGATACAAAAATACAGAAGATGGGGCGCATTCCTTGTTGTGAGAAGGACAATGTCAAAAGGGGACAATGGACCCCTGAAGAAGACAACAAGCTCGCCTCTTACATCGCCCAACACGGAACCCGTAACTGGCGCCTCATTCCCAAAAATGCCGGTTCTCTCTCTCTCTCTCTCTCTCTCTCTCTCTCTCTCTCTCTCATGCTTATACCCGTGCATTCTCGAACGCACTCATCGGAAAAGGTCTTGTTACCATACCAAAGATTGCACATTACACAAGAAAAAACAGTGTATTGACAATGACAATCTTTCTTTATTACGTATATAACAAGTGCCCAAAGCCATAAAAAAAACATGAGTTACTGAATTACCAATAATCAATGTGTAGGCCTGCAGAGATGTGGAAAAAGCTGTAGGCTGCGATGGACTAACTACCTCCGACCAGACTTGAAGCACGGTGAATTCTCAGAAGCAGAGGAGCAAACCATCATGAGGCTCCATGCTGTCCTTGGTAACCGGTAAACCAGTCGATCAATCCATTCTTCCATGTCATTCTATTCCGCAGAAGCTTGTTCTCAACTCCTCCACATTACCGACAATTCTGTTTTTCAATGAGTACCAAGCGGATGTTTTCTATTATTATCTCCCATGAAATGAAATCCCAATTGGGTTTTGCTACAGGTGGTCGATAATTGCGGCTCAGTTGCCCGGTCGCACGGACAATGATGTCAAGAACTACTGGAACACGAAGCTGAAAAAGAAGCTTTCGGGAATGGGAATCGATCCGGTTACTCACAAGCCATTCTCCCACCTCATGGCTGAGATTGCCACGGCACTGCCCCCACCGCACGTGGCTCATCTTGCAGAGGCAGCCCTCGGCTGCTTCAAAGATGAAATGCTTCACCTGCTGACCAAGAAGCGCGTCGACTTCCAGCTCCAACAATCCAATGCACCACATGGGACGAGTACATCCACTTGTCTCACCACTAAAAGTGATGAGAAAGAGGATACTGTGGAGAAGATCAGGCTGGGCTTATCGAGGGCCATTCTGGAACCTGACATGCTGTCTCCAGGCAAGCCATGGGAGCCAATTGGGGCGCCTACCACGAACTTCATAGGAGCATGCAGTGGCTTCCCTCAATCTGCCTCAGAATTTCAGTATGGCCATTCAGGGTTTGGCAACGAAGGGGATGGCTCACCTTGGAACCCAAGTATGTGTACCGGAAGCACCTGCACCGCGGGGGAACAACAAGGCCGGTTAGATGGCATAATCGAGGAAGAGAATGGAGAGGAGTCCAAAGGAGAGAAAGACTTAGGAAGCGGATCCAGCATATTCAACTCGGACTGCGTTTTATGGGATTTACCAGCGGATGATCTTATGAATCCCATTATGTAATGAGGCTTATCAAGTAACAGCAGGCACTAGGCAAAGAAGGCAAGATCCACTGGAATTGAAGGAAATAATGAACTTATCATAGCAGTGAATAATGACACCAAATGTACATAATACTTTTATAAACTATAAAATAACTTTTATCAAGGTGCATCCCTTCACTATGCAATCTCACTTCTGTAGTCAGAAATACAATGTTGGTCGGCCGAACATCTCAACGGCAATTGCTTATCAGGAATGGATTTACCATAAGATGGAACCCAAACCGGCTAGAGCCAGAAATGCGCAATTTTCAGGCACGCGACCGAATGCAAACACTTCTATTATCAACACTAATTGTGGCGGAAACAGATGCAGGGTCAGAAATTAGCGGGAGCGACTGGGGAGAAAAAGCAGATCGGCAATTCAGAATAGAACTACACTATCAAGAGCTTTAGTAACTTGAAGGTTCGAATTGCTCGCGGAAGAAAAAAACACAAAAATATCATCTTTTAACGGAAAATGCTCGTCCATGAATGAGGAACAGAGGTCAATTATTCGCACTTGGCAGAATTGCAGGATCCTTCGCATTGCCCAAGGGCTACGAATTTCAAACTCATATGCTGATAAATCTGTCTGAAAACCTATGGCCAAACGCGAACAATCAATTCGGCAGTAGCACTTATCAAAACCCTAGCCGTGGAATTCAGCGAATCAGAAGCTGCAGACACTCCAGTCAAGAGGCCTTTCCAACAAAATTGAAACAGGAACAACGCAATGACAACTTGCAATTAGCTGCATGGCCCTGATTCAAGATAAACAAGGAACAATGAAGAGCAAATGGATCGTCCAAGCTCCTCGGAATTTGGATCGTGTCGCAAAAATTTGGTTGTCATCCATTTCACTGCGATGGAATGAATGGAGGCAAATTCTAGTTACCTCAAACTAATCGAACCGGTATACTTGTGACAATTATATTTCAAACCACCAAAAACCTCAAATCAGTACATTTGTGATAAATTTATCCTCCATTAATTTTACGTACTTAAGTAATTCCGCGAAAAGTTTGGACATTAAAATACTGAGAAAACCTTTGACTTTCTGGTTTTGTTCCATCAAATGATGATATGAGATGGTCCCTAAGGGTATGGTCAATGATCCGTTATTCATTTAAAATACGCAAAATATTCTAGGTGGGACAAAAACACCAATTATAAGAAGTTTAAGCCTTGCACACGTGGCATAAGGAAAGCTTCCAGTTGTATGTTGTGAAAAAAAAAGTATATGTTACTGTTGTGGTGGTTGATCGAAGCCCGACCGGATAGAAGTCCGGCCTGTATTTCGGTTGTCGTTTGACTTGACTTTATGTTCGAGCAAATTCTATGAAGTCCATGGTAGAGCTTGTTCTTGGATTAAAAAGATGAAAAAGAAATTACGAAAATCAAGATTTCCAAATTTGAGTTGGTGAGCCAAACAAGAACTTATAAAAAAGAAATCTTTCTTTGTGTGGGTTCTTAGTGTCGCACCCGAAATCCCTTAAGAATAGGGGAATGACACGGCCTCAAAATATACATATATATAGCTATTTAAATTCAACTCGCATCCAAAACGCAACTACCAAAAGCTCCCCGTCAATAGTGCCATCATCTTGCTTGTCTCTAGCTAAAGAATCTAAAAAAATTGGAATAAATGGGTGAGCAACCACAGCTCAGTAAAAAGTACATATCTCTTATAAACAGATTGAGCATCCACTATCCATATTTACAAAACCATATTAAAACTCATTTAATTCAAATCCATAGTATAGTATATGTATGAGATCAAAAGCGAGTTTTATCTTTACATATCAGAAATATGCAATTTCATTAGTAATTACAAAGCAAATATCAATGGTCCAACCTATTAATCAATCTCATCAATTCACATTTTAATGGTCAAATCACCTATCAATGCTCTATTCCATTGATCCATCTCATGCTCAATATTTAACCATGGTCACGATACAACACCTATTGACTGGGTGACTGAGATCTCTTTCTTGACAAGATCTCCACCTATTATTAACCGGTGGTCGGCTTAGAAGGGTATCTAAAACCAGTTGCATACCTTAAAACCCCTAACCGAGTTCACATTAATATCGAGCATCAAACTATCATTCTCCAATATCAGAAATTAAATCTAGAATTTCATAAACCAGAATACATTTTTACAAAATAAAACATATATCCTTTCACAAATCGATTCTTTTCGCAAATTCATTCCAGAATCGATATCATAAATTGTTTTCACAACACCAAACATATACTCTTTCACAACATAATACCTTTCATAAATCAAATTTACGAATCAATACATATTATTTTTTTGCAATCCCATTCATAAAGCATTTCTCAAATCATTTCACAATAATCAACTCATAAATTGTTTCTAAAAATGTTTCCCATGCCTTTTCAAAAAATAAAAAAAGGTAGTAAATATCCTATTCAGATTATTTTTTTTGTCCTACTCTAATTTTCAATTCACTTTCAGACTTTTGCCATGTTTCCTTGCAAAAAGTCGAAACCCACATCTGAAACTAAACGTCCCATTCCTAGCCCCCCTGAGAAGATGAGAAATCGAACTCCCTATCTCTCCCTTTCCAAGTAGAAAGGGAGGCCACTAGGGCAAACCCTAAGTGGTTGTCCTATCCAGATTTACAAACATAACTTTTGTCTTTTAACCAAATTATACTTTGCACGTAAGGGTGACCATTGGAGCAAACCCAAGTGGTTGTCCTATCCAGACTTACAAGCATGACTTTTTCCTTTTAACCAAATCATACTTTGCACATAATATTCTAATTATTTTCATTTTCAAAATATGAATTTAAAAATTCAAAGAATAGATAGTACTATTCACCTGGGAATGCCCAAAACTTAACAATGTAGCTATTCCAACAATCTCTTAGTCCTATCAATTAACCAAAAATCGCGCCAAAACCATGTAGAACGCTACCTCACCTATGAACATCAAAACTTAATCTTGGCAAAATGTTTTTTCGTATCAATAAATCGTTTGCCCAAGCGGACGAGATATCGCGTGAAAACTCTAAAAAAAATAAAACTAAACATTACTTCAAATCAACTTTAAACCCCAAAGCTCTACAATGCCCTAATCCATTATTTCCATGTAATTTTACAATTTAACAACTCCAAAATTTAGATTTCACTCTTCAAATTTCATATAATTTCGAAGTTTGACCCTAATTTTGAAAACTACTTCGATTAGACGAACAAATGGCTTAAATCCTTACTGGATGTTACGAATCAAAGTAAATACAACTTGGCAAAGTTCTTATAGTGTGTACGCGCAAAGTCATTTTTCCATTTCTCTTTCCCTTTCTTATTCTTCGTTCCCTTTACTCCGCTTTTTACCCCTTTCTTTTCCTTCTCTCTCGATAAGTGCGCTTCCTTTTCCCTTTATATCTCTTCTTTTTTCTTTTTTAAAGCTCCCTTTTTGACACGTCCTTTTCCCTTTATATCTCTTCTTGGGAAAAGGGAGAGCAAAATATTGCCCTCAAGTCAACCAAAATGAAGTGGTTCCTCTATGTATGCAGTGTTTAGATTCTCTCGAATTTTATTGATGAGAACATTTGGAGAGATTATGAGTAAACACAGTTAAGAATTTTTGGGTGAAATATAGAACTGAAAAACACAAAAGTTATTGAGTGATTGTAAACTTCATAATTCTCCGAATTCATAATAAATTTCTTGGCTATTGATTCTTTCAGTGAAGTAGATATCGATACTCGAATCGAATCACGTAAATCTATGATGTCTTTATCTTTCTTATTGATTGCTCTGTAGTTTTGTTGTTTCGCGTTTGGCATTGAATTGCAAGACCCGTCAACTTCTACATTATTTTCAAACATATAGAATTGTTATTCCAAGCACCAAAATTAATGGGACCACATTGAATAAGTTAAATATAAGAATTGCGGAAGAGAGAAATGTGAGAAATTGTATATATTTCGATATATTTAAAAGAGCACATAAAGAGCCTATTTATAGGCTTAGATAGAGAAAATTAAATGAAATCAAATATAATATGCATAATCAAAAGAGATATATAAAATCAGAGGAAATATCCTAAATATTCCTAGAAGATTTCTAAATATCTTCAACAGAATAAATTATAAATTTGGGGACAACATTGTATATTATGTCAAAGTTCAAAAATCATTTGTGTAATTTTCTCTTCTATTTACTATGAGAATGACTTAAATGACGGTTGCTGTCATGAGAATTATAGAATGAAATTAAATGGATTTGCATAGATGCATGTATATGGTACAAAATCATGCTGACATAAATAACTTTAGCTCCTCTTTGTCACATAGGTAAGGAAAATCGCCGAATTTGAATCTTCTGCACTGCAAAACAATGGCAGTCCATCACTCCCTCGAGGTCGCTGACGGTACCTTGGACGACGACGGGCGTTTGCGTAGAACCGGTCAGGCTCTCTTCGAATTAATTATTCATGTGTTATGCATGCATAGTTCCTTCGTGTGCTTTTGAATTTGGATCCCATCCCGGGGTCTGAGTATTGAGAACGAGTCTGAAGTTGCTCCACTTACTCAGGAACCTTATGGAGTTGCATTGCTCATATCATCACCGCGGTCATTGGATCTGGAGTCCTGTCTCTGGCTTGGAGTACGGCGCAGCTGGGGTGGATAGCTGGGCCGGTGTCCTTGATTGGTTTCGCGATAATCACCTACGTTTCTGCTTTCCTTCTGTCAGATTGTTACCGGTCTCCCGACCCCATAAAAGGAACACGGAATTATTCTTACATGGATGCGGTTGGAGTAAATCTTGGTAGGAAAACAATTAAATCTTTTACCTACTTTATTATCCGAAATGGTTGTGTGATTTCGCACGAGAGAATTTACTTTAGATGAGGCGGTCCTTCGCTTGTCGATCCTATTACGTTCAGTTGTCCATTTCAGGTACGAAAAGAATGTGGGTATGTGGTTTGCTTCAGTATCTGAGCATGTATGGCATAGACATAGCCTACGTTATAACTACTGCAACCAGTATGAGGTACTCTGCTCTGAGAATTCTATAGTAGTATTATGCTTGTGAATGTGCCATGTGTTTGGCCATCTTTCCTGGAGACTGCTCATTTGGCGTTTACCTGGAAAATTTGCATTCCTTTGTGGATGCAGGGCTATTTGGAAATCGAATTGCTATCACAGAGAAGGGCCCCATGCTCCTTGTCACTATGGTAATAGCTTCTACATGCTGCTATTTGGGATCATACAGATCGTGATGTCGCTGATACCGGACATCCACAATATGGAATGGCTTTCAGTTGTCGCCGCGATCATGTCCTTCTCTTACTCTTCCATTGGACTAGGACTTGGCTTCGCAAAAGTCATAGGTCGGTGTGTTTGCCGTAATACTTGACCTTTTGAAGAGAACACAATGCAATTGAATCAGTTCCTTTTGCTATCAGATAAATGAAGGGACAATTTCGTACTCTCTTATTATTCTCTAGAGCTCCTAGGAGTTCTGCAATGACTCTGAATTTCTTGTAAACTCTAGAAAATGGAAGAATCGCAGGAGGGATTGTGGGAGTTGCTAAAGTTGAGAAAAAGGTATGGAATGCCTTCGAGGCGCTTGGAGATATCGCTTTTGCGTATCCATACGCACTCATTCTTCTTGAGATACAGGTGAGCCTTGGCTTTAATAATTGAACTAAATCAGTTTCTGTTTCAGAACAACCCACAAGGCCTAGAGGCTTACTGAATCTTGAGTTTCTGTCACATGTAGGACACTTTGAAGTCCCCTCCACCAGAAAACCAGACGATGAAGAGGGCCTCCATGGTTGCAATCTCCATAACCACCACTTTTTACTTCTGCTGCGGATGCTTTGGATATGCAGCCTTTGGTGACAAAACACCAGGGAATCTCCTGACTGGGATAGTGAGCGGGGAGGGATTCTTTGAGCCCTTCTGGTTGGTCGACTTTGCGAATGCGTGCATTATTGTCCATTTGGTTGGAGCATACCAGGTATATATATGACTGATACCCGACTTGTCGAAAAAGACCGATACCTGCCTTTAGTTATCATCTCAATATTAAACTCGTGTTCAATCTTCAATTGGTTATGCACTCTGACAACTATCAATTTTAGAGCCTCAAACCCTGAAAAAACTTGAGAAAAATTAAATCAAAATAATCAAAACAGTCATGCGCATTTTTTCGCACAAAAAAGTTATAGAGATGGAAGTAAGAGTTTCATGATTTGATTAAGACTTTGAAAACATAGTTAAATTGTTCATGTCGAGTCTCTTTTGCTCAGATGTACAGTCAGCCCATATTTGCAGCAGCAGAGAGATGGTTCAGCTTCAAATGCCCAAATAGCAGATTTGTGAACAAATTCTACACATTCAAGCTTCCCTTGGTGCCGGTTATTCGGTTGAATCTTTTCAGGCTGTGCTTCCGCACGGTATTTGTCATATCCACCACTGGAATCGCTTTGATCTTTCCTTATTTCAACTCGGTTCTAGGAGTGTTGGGTGCGTTAAACTTCTGGCCCTTGGCGATATATTTCCCCTCGGAGATGTACCTTGTGCAAAAGAAAATCGGTGCTTGGACAAGAAACTGGGTCATCCTTAAGATATTCAGCTTTGTCTGCTTTCTTGTGACAGTTCTGTGCTTCATTGGCTCATTTGAGTCACTGATCAGTGCCAAACTAAGCTGAGAAACTGTAATTTTCCTTCCTTATGGGAATACGAAAGGGAAAATCAGACGAAAGATGTCTTATTTTGTTACGGTGAAAAAGGGAGCACCTAAGTTCTTCAATTGCCAATGTACTGAATATTCATGTTGCGCACTTATTCAGGGATTTGAGCGACGCGGAATAAAAAAGCATAAAATGAGCAGGAAACAGGAATAGTTATGAGGTTCCACCCAAGCAGATAGTGACAAATACTGGCATGGACTGGCCTATGAATAGATATAATCAGACGCCTGCTTTTATTACTATCAATGGTTGCGACTAACTAAGTTCATAATGGATTGAGTCCCGGAGTCTGGATGAATTTCATGCAGATAGTCCTTGAATCTTACAATCTCAACTCCTCCTTCAGATCCCAAGTACAGAATCATTAGTCTCACTTGAAGGTGGTTGCTTGAGTTTAGGTAAGATACAGGAGCTTCTCACCAACTTTTTACAGCTAAAAAGTGAGAATATACATGTACCCTCTATCACATGCTTGAGCCGTGTCAATAGCATGCACCGCTTGGCCAATCATTCATCTTTCTAGTTTGTGAATACGTCTTTAAAAAAATAACAACAATAAATATGCAGATCGACAAAGAACTACATCAATGACAAACAGAAGCTTAAAAATAATTATATTTGACGATTCATCTTCTCAGTCGACGAGATTCATACACTCTCATGTCAAGAGCCTTCATAAAAGAGAGGACTGATCATTAGTCCTGGACTGATAAGATATCAACAGACGGCTGGGACTATATGTTCATGTCAAAGCAGTTGCTAAACAGCAGCAAGCACCAGCCATTCTTGCATTCACAGAACGATTATATTTCTAATGCGTTAGAACTAGGAGTGATAGACCGAGCGCCAGAAAGAACCGCACGTGCAACAACCTCAACTTTTGGGAAAGGCAAGCTCTTTTATGAGGCAATGATGCGTGACCTTAAGCACACCAGCTTTAGGATAAAACCACACTCTTAAAAGCTTCGGTAACTTAATGATTCGAATTGCTTGCGGAAGACAAAAAAAAAAAAAACAAACAAACAAAAATGCTATCTTTTTACGGAAAATGCTCGTCCATGAATGAGGAACAGAGCTCATTCGCACTTGGCAGAATTGCAGGATCCTTCGCATTGCCCAAGGGCTACGAATTTCAAACTCATGTGCTGATAAAAATCTGCCTGAAACCCTCCTATGGCCAAAACTGTTACCTATCAATTCATCAATACGACAAAAGAACAGCCAAATTAAGAACACTCAAGACCGTAGCCATTGAATCCAAAGAATCAGAAGCCTACGGACACTCCAATCAGGAGGCTTTTCCAACAAAATTCAAACAGGAACGATGCAATGACAACTTGCAATTAGCACGACCCTGATTCAAGATAAACAAGGAACAATGAAGAGCAATTGGATTGTCCAGCTACTCGGAATTTGGGCCGTGCCGCGAAAATTTGGTCGTCGTCCATGTCAATGCGATGGAATGAATGTAGGCAAATGCTAGTCGGACCGGTCAAAGTAGGATTTTTTATGGACTAAAGTCAAAAACTCAAATATATTTCAAAATTTAATCGATCATAATTTACGAAGGAGATGGGCGAAGCAATGGTGGTGGCGGCGAGAAACAAAATATGAGAGAGAGAAAGTATGCTTAATTAATGATTAATTGATTTGTAAGCAAAGAGGATGTTTTGATCGGTTAACAATAAACATAAAAGGTGAAGAAAAGAGATGAGAGAGAAAAAGAAATTAGGGTGAAAAAGGTGATCAATCTTGTTTCCTAACGTATTATTTTGGTCGATTGACAATAAAAGGTGTGTACCCAGTCAAAGATGGAGTGGAAATAGCACCGCCATTTTCTTATCCATAGACAAATGCGTAATTTCGTAATTTTATTTCATCTCTCGTATTTTTCATATTAAAACCCACTCTACTTATCTTTTAATAATCTTATAAAAACCATGCATGTTAGGGTTGATTTAAATTTTTAATTTTTTTTGTTTAATCTACATCCTACGACTTGAATACTGAGAATCCTTTTGTTAATTCTGATCACCTTAAGCTTTCACAACATGCCAATCTCGACACATGAGTTCGCCTGTGACTACTTTTTTTATTATTTTTTTTGGAAACCTGAATAATATTTTAAATTTTGACGGAAAAGCTAAAAAAAAATTCTTCGCTAATATTTTTTTTTCTTCCCTAGTTTTGCTTGATCCAAAGGCCTTTAACTCTTGGACAGACCAAGTCCAACTTCTAGATTGGCGCCCAAGGAAAGCTGAGCGGGCCCATTTGTCCCGATTACAGGCTGTAATCGAGACAAATGGCCCACGAATTCTTTCCATTTTTCTTTTGCTTTTTTAAGTTTAATATTATTTTCTTATTAAAAAGTTGTTTAGGGTTAGGTTTAGCTGTAATCAATCTTTCAAGGTGCCCCGTTCATGCTAGATGACCATGTGTTGCCGGAATTATCACATCTTGTGAGATTTTTCCGGGATTTTCCTAAGTTTGAGTTTCATTCCATCTATATACATGGAAATATCAAAGTTTCATATTGTGTATATATAATCTGTGACAACTTACTCAAAATTTAATCACGAGTCTAGAAAAATAAATCATTAAAATCACTCGTGTCGATCTTTTTAGATGTTCGTCGAAAGGAGAAAAGGGAAGAAAAGAAAAGTGTGACGAATAAAATAGGGTACTCTACTCACCCAATTTGGCACGAAAACATATAATATTTTGTTCAGTTTTTTGCGATTGTGAATTGTGCGATTAGATAATCATTCACAACGATGCGACTGAAAATCATTAGTTCTCTAATAATTCAGAGGCACTAGCATGGAGATCCATAAAACACCTTGTAAATCTTATAAACCCATTAATTCCAACCCTTTGATCTACACAGGTGGCCTTGATCAAGAATGTTTTGCGTACAATTGGTGGGATCAGAACGGACGATCATGAGAACGGGAGGTCTCCTAGCACTCCACCCAATCGCGCCGATCATAAAGAGTTTGATTATAATAAACTCTCATCTTACGAGACCTTGATGGAGATTGATGTTATAAATATATTATCGTCCTCACTTATAAACACGATTTTTCAAACCTCGAGTAATGGGTATATACTTGAAGAAACGATACTTTGTTCCATTGTAAAATTGAAACACAAGCAAACAGTTCCTACCCAAAAATTCTAAAGAATCTAGACAATGACGTTTTTTTTTATTTTCCTTTTTGCCCCATACTTAAAACATTCTTTGCGTTTTTCTTGGCCAAGCATGTAAAAATGGTTAACGTGTTGAATCCTTCCCTTGTCATTTTTCACGAAAAGAACTCTCTCCAAGAGTTCTCCAACCCATGAGTACTAGAGTTGGTGGTTGCGACGAAAGGCCCCCCATTTTGACGAATCAAGGAGAATGCCTTTGCCCAATCACGGAGTGACAACACATAGATATTAACTACAAGGGTTAGCATCATGCACCTCTCCTAACTTTTTAATTAATTTAGATCAAGGTTTACATCATACTTCTAAGCACCGTATAATGTTCATTAGAGATACTATGACTATCTAACAAATCGCTCGATAAAATAGATAATTTGTACGGTAGTTCTCGAAATGAATGTAAATCCCTTCTTCGGTGAGCGCGATTTTTAAAATCGATCCGGCTCTTCGCACCTCCTTTTTTTGTCTTAACGTAATGGCAATCGGTGGCTAATCAATTATAATATTAAATAAGAAAACGTAAGGGAAATGTTGTATCAATTCGATACATTCAAATAGTGCGTTGGCAAAATTTAATATTGAGCGACTTGATTGATATTTTAAGGGATAAGTGTAGTAAAACTCCTAAAACTTGCTACAAAAGTGCAATTGAGTCATAATATTTTCAAAAAATGCAATCAAGTTCTAAAACTTATCAAATTAGTGTAATCAAGTCATTTTGTTTTGATAAAACGCAATGCGTGGAATAAAACATCAAAGATAAGGTTCGTTTAATCTAACCACAATTTCTCAATCTAAATATTATTTAAATTAGATTTTTTAAAAAAGAGAGAGAAAAGAGTGCAAAGCTGACAATGGCCCTCCTCACCACTGCCGCCACCCCACCATCACCGGAAAGGGCCAGCGATGGTGGGACGAGGGTCAGCCATGGTCGCGGAGCCCCAGCCAGTGGGCGACAACCTTGGCCAACCGAGCACTTGCCAATTTGTTTGCTCTTTCCTCTCTTTTTTTTTATTTTATTTTTAAATATAAGTTCAATAATAGTAAGTTTAAAAAATTAAATTTGGACCGAAACGACGTCATTTTGGCCACGTCCTTCATGTTTTAGTTACGCCGACGCCACGTAAGAGAGAGAAGATAATAATAATAAAAAACCTATGTCAGGGTGGAGTTAATGGAAAAATCTGATTGCACCGTTCTAGAATCTGATTGCACTTATTGAAATTTTTACGACTCAATTATACTCTTTTTGATAAATTTCGGGACCATCGGCGCATTTATCCCGTATTTTAAATGAATACGGGCAATAACTATTTTTCCCTCCACGCGCGGGCAACTCCCATTCTTCCGTTTTAACCGCTCTCGTGTCTCCTTTGTTTCACCGGCCGTCCTCCGTCGCCGGGTCGTCGTCTTCTGCTTCTTCTTCACCGCGTTCACTGTTCAGTAATACAGTGGCTCGTCCGTAAATATGCGACGATCCCCACTCGACTGTTTAGAAATACGGGTTTACGCAACTCTATAAATGCGAAGGGATCGCTCCACCGACGCGCCCCCCTGATTGAAGAAGCCGAAGGGAAGAACTTCTCTGGTGGGAAAACCTCTTCCCACCAGTCTCGGCCGCGCACCGTCCGCGACCGAACCGCATCGCCGCCGCCGCCGCCGACCGTGGGTGGCCGCGCTCCGCATGCCGGCGTCCTGACCCGATCGTCCCCGGCGGTCCCCCGAGGCGCGCTCTCCATCGGCGGCGATCATGACGTCCTCCGGCGGCGGCAGGTACATGGCCTACTCGCCGTCCCCTTCCACCGCCCCTCACTCTCCTCACCTCTCCGGCCTCCGCTCCACCTCCTCCGCTATCGCCGAGCAGGAGAAGTAATACTCCCCTCTCTCTCTCTCTCTCTCTCTGAGATTTTGATCGGTGAATCGGTGTTTGTTTGTCTATCGCTGCGATGGAGGATCTGGATCGTTTGGTGTGGTCCTGAACAGATGACGTTTTGAACTGCCTTTGTTGATGTTAGGATCGGTGTATTGACTTTAGATCTGGTAACTCCGGTTCATCCCTATTGTTGCTCGCATCGGATCGGTGCTCGAGTGCTTGTTTATGTGGCGGAGACTCACTTGGAAGCTACTTTGTGTCTTGGCTGATCTGCTGATTGAATTGTTCGGAGTTCTGTTATGTTTGAAGGCAGTTTTGTTTGACTGATCTATGCAGCCACTCTGCGGTTGCCTTTCTGGATAGGTTTCACTGAGTGGTAGGTGGATTGTTCATTCGAGGGCATTGCGAAGCGTCATTTCTGTGAAATTCCATTTGGTCGGTCTGCCTTTCGTTAAACATCGTCTGTAGGATCTATAATGGAAATGGTTTAATCACAAATTTTTGTGCAGTTCCGTTCGTTAATCTATCTGCTGATTTGATTGTCATGTGGATATTTTAGTGATTGGTTTTGCTGTTTCCTGTCATCTGAAATTTTAGTTTTTCAAAGTATGCCCGAGTTCTGTATGCATTTGTATGATTAAGTTTCATTCTTCTTGTTTTGATATCTCCATGGCAGGTATATCAATGAACTACTAGCAGAACGCCTGAAATTAAGTCCATTTATGGCTGTACTTCCAACTTGCTATCGTCTGTTGAGCCAAGGTAAGCTTTACAACTATTGATGCGGCATTTGCATTGAATAAACCAGTTGCAATTTTGGTGTTGCTGAAAGCAGCTCCTTTTGTTCTTTTGAACAAGTTAAAGGAACATGCAAGGAGCTACTTATTCCTCCTATCCGCATGTTCAACAACTGAGCCCTTTCCTCCTGTGCACATCTAAACAGACGTTATTGGTTAGGGAAGCTGACTTCTTTGACTAGCGTTACATTTCCCATCCATGGAATCACCAATTGACACAATCTGACTTTATATCAGCTTCTACCAATGTATGAGCGCCCTCAGGTTTCCCTCCCGCAGATAGTTGTTTGTTGCAACATCACATGCTTCTCCACAGATACATCCGAAATTCATATTTTGATGTTGAACTGTGAAGAGATTTGTTTTTGTTGGTAAAGGTGTGACTTTCAAAGGTTAAGCTGATATATAAGGTTTGAATACCGCCAATACTGCTATGGGCTAAAGTATTTCTAGGGTTATAGCTAATTTCAACTTCTCTTTTCCAGTTCTTCGGAGAACTCTTTTATAACAATCTTTCCCCATATAAGTTGTGAAATGCTGTTTGTTAAGACTAACTTCCCTGATCTTTTTGGACTTTTGGGAGGGTCGCAGCTTATGTTGTGAACTAACAGCATCAATGACACTGTCTAAAAATTTAGATATTTTATCTTGAGCTAGTCCTTGACAATCATTATCTAAGCTGTTGTGGACATTCACATAACATTTCTCGTTGGCTCTCAGTTGAGAGAACTTATGGCTGTCAAAATGATTGGAGTTCAAGGAGAACATTGCTGAATGACCTTTACTGGTGTAGATTAGTTTTCAAAATATTGGGAGTGATTGCATCATGTGGAGTGCATAAGGCTGAGACGAATATAATTATTTAGATATCATGGACTGTCTTGGAGCATAAAACTTCTCTGTGGAATCAGTGGAAAAGCTTGAAACTGACAAGTGAGATCTGATTGAATCCCATATGAGAAATTGTGGAGGATTGCTGGAATTTATTAGGGAGGTGGTTGAATTATGAGGGATTGATCTCTCCCGCTGCATATACTTTTTGGAGTGAGAAAATAGTATGAGGTTGTGTTTAAACTTCACAGAAACTGGTTTTGTTTTCTCACAACTGTGATTATTTTGAGAGCCTTCAGGAAGCAAATGATTCTTCGTTAGTCTATATCATAATTATATATACGCAACTGTGGCTTGAGTCATGATGTATATAGAGGCTTTAAAATATGTTTTCTCCCATTGGTCAACCAATAATCAAACTGTCGACTATGCTATCTTTCGCCTGTAGATTTGGCATTCAGGTCATAACATTCCCAACTTGAACATTTTAGAATTTGCTTAAGAAAATTTTCTTGATAGTTAAAACAAATGTATGTCTTAACTCCCAAATAGGCAATCCAAGGACAACCTTTTTCTTCTGGTCTGACTATCTTCTACCCTTTTGAAAGAAGTAGAAAAATATTTGATAGACTCGAGAAGTCTTCTTTCTGTTTGATGAATATTATTACGGAATAGATGAAGTTTGAATCTCTTTCCAATATGGGCTTTTTTCCAAGTTTCTCTCTCTTTTGGTTATTTTTGTGTAGGTCTCCCTGGTATGTTCTTTTGTGTACTTCCAGTGTACTAGGGTTGTAATTTTCTTATTCTTCCTTCAATTAACTTTACTTAGACAAAAAGATTATCTTACTCCTTTTGGCCATTGAAAGACAAAATGTTTTTCCCAAAGGAGTTGAGAGTTTACTATTCTACTGACATGGAGACAAGTTTAGTTTATGAATTTTGTGCTGACTGCTAACTGATTGTTTAACTCATGCTAACTGGTACGTGTTATTCTTGGAAATTGACATTTTGGAGCAGAAATAGTGCGTGTAACTACACTCTTGGAGAATGCATCAGTTTTAGGTCAAAGTGGGCTTGAACATGCTAGCCCCCTGGCTTCAGGAGGGATTTTTTCGAATGGAGGAGCAGAATTGAATGGATGGCCATCAAGGTTTCAATCAGAAGTACGATGCTAACCATTAACATAACCTTTCTCCATCTAATTTTACTGTTTATAGAAGCATTCCGACACACTCTTCTCCTTATTCATGCTAACTTATGACCATCTGTTTAAATGCTTGTACTTTGAATTTTTACTTTCAGTTGGGCTAACGTCATAGAAAATGAAAGGTACTTATTACTTAGCATCTACTTTTAGATCTCGATTTAGAATTAGGTTATTCCATCTTGTTAGTTGCCGAGACAAGATGGATATTTGATGAGCAGATCGAGAACTTAGTACTAATATAACCATGATCTTATCGTACTTATATAACCACGATCTTGTTGTACTAATATAACCACGCTCTTATCTAACTGCGTGATAATGCAAAACTTGAGAGAGCTAAACAAGAGGAGTTTTCTTTGCTCATTTGTGCCCTGATTTCTTTAATTAACCATCTCATGATGAGTATGATTCCACAGACGTAGTGAGTATTTCCTTGAGAAAAAATCATCCGCTGGTCCCTAATAGTTAAAAAGAGAAGAAACCTAGCATCTATCTATGGAAATGCATCCATCAGTCCAATAACATAATTGCTGAGTATGCTGATTTTAAACGTATTTATATTTTTTGGTTACATTGTCTTTCATTCTGTTGTCTGTTGGTTGTGTCGATTTTTGTTTTGGTGGTTATCACCTGCAGCATGCATTGCAGCATCGGTCCTTCTATCTGCCAAGTATGCTTAGTTGTTTCTGAAATCATGTTGCCTGTATTTTATTTATATGCTCTTTCCATAATATGAAATGGTCTTCCTTATCGATTACTGGGTTGAGTCAATGGCTCTCAAGGTCTTTCAGAGTCATGAACCTTATGCATATAATGACACTCTTAAATGCTGATATCGGGTTAATTGCAGCCGTCATTAGCACAAAATTGGATGAGTTCTCAGGTTAGTTCATCCGGTCTTCTTGTCAAGAAAACAGTTCGATTGGATATTCCAGTTGACAAATTTCCCAATGTAAGATTAGGTTGGTTTTTTATGTGATTCTGAGATGATCTCTTTTTGTCCAGCATGAGTTAATTCTGATTTAATGCTGCAGTACAACTTTGTTGGGCGCCTCCTTGGCCCTAGGGGAAACTCTCTTAAACGAGTGGAAGCAAGTACTGAGTGCCGCGTTCTAATCAGAGGCCGAGGCAGCATTAAAGATCCTGCTAGGGTATGGTCAGATTGTTCTCTGTGAGCTGACAAGTTTATGTTTCATGTATATTTGTGTGCATGTTTCTTTGAGGTGTGCATGTTTCTGTGAGGTTAGGGGAAGTATGGAGAGAGGTCTTTTGTGTGGTTACTATTATGAACCTCTCTGGAAACTGCTAGTGTATAGAAAGTGTGGTAGCAAAGAAATTGCAGAATGAGTTTGATGTAATGCTAGCCATGCCTCTTTATGGGATTCTCTTTTCAACACGTGTGTGCCTTAAATTTGTTTTGGAGCACGTTTTTTATTTGTGTCAGTTGATATAAAACTGTCTTTTAAGGGAGTTGAGAACCAGGTGACTGTGGTCTAATACATGACAGACTTAACTCTTTAAATTTAGCAAGCATGATTAGGAAATATTTTAATTGCTGAAGCTGTACAGTAGATGATTATGAACCTAGAAACTACCAAAACAAAAGGAATGGCGATAGAAAACATTGTAATCATCTTTTCAAGGTGCAATTTTCTTTTTTTCTTTTTAAATAGTTTCTTAAACAATCCTGGCCTACAAGATAGAGTTCCCAAAGGATGTCAGCCTTGTTAAGTTGTGGCTTAATCTGGCAACTGATTCCTACCATATGATTTGTTGTGGTTTACTTTGAAAAGCAAGAATGACCAGGAGCTCATCAAGTGGGTAAAATATATGCACGAGTCTTCTATGTTCGGCATGGATTGTACTTATCAAAGATGTGTTCTTGAAAGAAGCAAATAGTCACTCTTCATTTGGTTCGCTTTTTATCATCTTGGTGCTAGGAACTTGTTCACTTTTTTGTTTCCTTCATTTCTTTTGAATCATATGGATCTCACACTTTTTTAATGAACTCATGCCACTTTCTCCTGCTAATTTTCTTTAAAAGGAAGAAATGATGAGAGGCAAACCAGGATATGAGCATTTGAATGAACCGCTTCACATCCTCATTGAGGCTGAATTACCTATTGAAATAATTGATGCTCGCTTAATTCAAGCTCGTGACGTACTGCAAGATTTGCTTAAGCCAGTGGTAAACTCTTCCGCCTTACTCCCAGTGTGTATTATTCAGCTAAAGCAGTATCATCGATATAGGGCATTGTGGTTGAACATCTTTACATCTCTTGTTTATATAGGACGAATCTCAGGATTTCTACAAGAAGCAGCAGTTACGTGAGCTAGCAATGCTCAATGGTACGCTTCGTGATGAGAGTTCTCCTATGTCTGGTTCTGTGTCCCCCTTCAACACAAGCCTCGGAATGAAGAGGGCCAAGACCAGGGGGTGATTAATTTTGCTAGCGGGCATTTGGATATTGTGTGAGTTTCTGGCTGTGAGGGGTAGGTGTGATGGTCAACACCTCCGACTGCCCCTGGTCACTGCCGCCACAGATTTCCCAGACTAGTCTCCAAATACGATACGTAATGTGTTGCCTGGGAATGGTTGCTTACGCTAAAACCCAGGAACTTGCCCTCAAGTTCTGAGGTTTGGGTCTTTGTGTTGTTTTAGGTAAAGTCCTAGTCGAGAAATTGCCGGTCGAGGTTGTCGTTAGTATGAGGAGGCTCTTTAGTAGTAACTTGTGATAACAGTTTTGGGAATGTTAATGGGGGGGGGTTTCTCTGAGAAGGCCGAGGTCTGGATCGTACACAGAGGAAGACAAAAGTGTGATGTGCTCTGGTTTCTGTCTGGATTGGAGTGTGTTGTAGTAGTGAGCGTAGTCATATTAATATTTGCTGAAACATATTCTTTATTATTAAAAGCTTTACTGACTGCAATCAATCTCCATCTCAACTCTCTTTCTTATCAGTTTCCAGTTTTGTACTTACAGTTTATCTGCCTCAGCTGACGCCATTTCCTTTCTTCTCCCTTCTGGAGTGCACTTTCACTCGCTAATCTTAATTCTACACATCCCTAGCGCATAGCAGTATACTCGAGAGGACTAATTGCCAATTTGCGACTTCAATACCATCTGGTTTGGATTCAAATTTCAATAGACTGAATTGAGGATGTTTCTTTGCCTTACCTGAATTGAGAATGCTTCTTTGCAATAAAAGGAGAGGAGAATGAGGAAGTACATGATTATAATCGGATGCTGCAAAGGCTCAACGCAGTTCTTATCGGCTACACCAGAAATGCGTCTAGTCATATCTCTCAAGATTATACACTCTGAATCACACACTCGCGATTCATGAATCATCTCAAAGATTATTGTAAAAACCATTAGTCGCCACGCGATCACCCTCATCCGTTTGGCAAGCTTTCTACATCACGGGATATTGAAGCTGCACGACTCAGACCTTCTCTTCACCGGCTTCATCATTGTCTTCGTCATCCATATCATCTATGCCAACCCAACGGGTGAAGGCAAATAGAAATTCTTTGAAGTTCACCATCCCATTCTTATCCCAGTCCATCTCTTCTGCAATATGGGGATAAAGAAGAAAACTTAGAACATGTGGGAATTTGCAAACACCTACATGGGTAACATGTGAAATCCCGTTCATTGCAAGACGAACTGCATAGCACATTCCTATGCGGGTGCATATGGGTGGCTGTTGGTGTTCCTGTGTGTGCACGCGTGTACATGCGTGAGAGAGAGAGAGAGAGACCAAATCTTTTCATTGCAATTTGTCCAGAAGAGCGCTCCCCGCATGCAGTTTCGTTTATGGCATCAACCATCTCGCTCTTGCTGACATGTCCATCCTTGTTCTTATCCAAGAACACAAATGCATCCACTAATGTCTCGAATGTGGTTTCCAGGTCTTGCATTCCCATCTTCAATTTCTACACGTGCTAAGGAATTAAAGAATATGCAGAAAAGACTGTTCAGTGCCAAGAATATGTGAAACGAATAGAATGGGACGTGTAGAACAAATTATGAGCAGAATCCCAACATTATAAGGCAAACTTCTGGTCTTTACTAAAAGAACTGTTCTCTTATATACAAGTCAGGATACGGCAAGCTGGGCAGCAGGATCGTCCTTGAGAAGATGTACAAGGCAGAGAAGAACGATGAACTCATTGAACTTTATCCCCATGTCATCGTTGATGTCACATGCCTCGAAAAGATCGTTGATCTCCTCCTCCGAAAAAGAAATCTCCAGCTTATTAAAGCAATGCCTCAGCTCTTCCTTGTCTATTACATTGTTTGAATCCTCATCTGTCAATGAGGAGTTGAGACCCTCAGAATCCAATGAACCAATTAATTGTTCCCATCAACAAGCGGATGTTGAAGTCTAATGCTTACCGAACTGTTCAAATATACTTTTGCATTTTCGAAAGCTTTTGTCGATTTTGGGAAACTTCAGAATTATGCTGTTGAACGACTTCATCGTACTACCTCCAGATGCCCTCATCTGCATAGCTTCGACCATCTTAGCCTCAAGTTTCGTCTCAGGTACCCATGCCTTTTTAGGCGAATCACCTTTTCCTAATACGCCTCCCATTGTAATTGGCGGAAACTAATAATTGGATATTCTGCAAGTACGGACCTGCATATATATATGAGAAAGTTTATAGGTCAGAGAGAAAGCAGTGATCTGACCAATGTCAACACTGAGAAACTATTTGAACCCATCAATTAAGCGACAGATGTAATATTCTTTCCGCAATAGCACTCCAAGAGTACTTGCAAACTTTAAGGTATTCACGAATTCCTAATGTTTGATCTCCGATAACTTCCCCCCAAATTATAAAGACCAGATATCTAAGTGCATATTTACGGTTACACCGCATAGCACTTGGATCCAACTGCCATGTCAAGAAAAATTTACCTTTTCAAACATTAAACAAGCGGTTACTTCTGCAAGTGCTGCAGCGTTATCAGAACAATCTCCAACTAACTACATTTTACTGAGCATTTTCTGTAGAAAAGACCAGATGATAATAAGAAGAGTAACAAGAGCGAAGTCAGCACAAACATTGTCATGGAAAGTAAAAAAGAAGGTCACTAACATTTCCAAAATGAGAAGAAATTGTTCTTTTCCTTAACCGTCGAGCATCATGATCCCATCTCATGGGCACAGGGCACACTACCTAGGATTGCCACTTCAAGCACACCACCAGACATGACACCAGATTATGAAATGATGCATAGCACTAGTCGATTATCTCAAATCTAGAAGATCCACCAGTGAATGTCTTCATTAAAACGAACCATTACCATATGAATTGCATCTTGACATAATAGCCTTAAACAATTTTCTTTCTTTTTAGCTGGGGTGATGGATAAAGTCTTTCTGGAGTCTGGACTGGTAATCAATCCGAATATCCACCGAACATAATAGAAACTAACTTTTTGATGAATTACCTAGCACCGTCTTGCTAACTAGTATTCAGCCAGACATTTCAAAAGCTCAGACAGTTCGAAGGTGAAATTGTCAAAAAGGGAATTACACTAAATTGTCTAAAAAGTGCAATCTGCTGCACCTACAGCAGAAATTGTCAATAAGGGAACAACACTAAACGAGACAGAAAGAGGAAAAGAACGCAAAAACTTCCACCCTGCTTTGATACGATGTCAAGTTGAACTTTCTTTTGCTTGGGCAAATTCGAATAATCTCTCCAAAAGCTATAGCGGCTCGATTAATTTGATGCTCCTCGTGGCTCTTCTTTTTTCTCTTTTGCGGGTACCCGCAGAACAGAAACATTCAGAATGAAAGCACCGAATTCCAAATACATCGCAAACAACAACAACGTGGGAATTTCATAGAAAGAACAGATTATGGGACAAGAACAAGGAACAAGCGCTCACCTCGAAGCGATCAGAAGCGAAGACGCGTGCTGACCCAGCGAGGCCTTTTCGATTCTCCACGAGATTTTCCCAGCTTTCAAACTACCGATTCCGGAAAAACCCAACTTCGCCAAATTAGCAAATGACAAAAGGAAAAGGACCCAGAAACGAAAAACAGAACAAATCTCTGTCAAAACGCCGCTCGTCAGCCGAAACAAGAAACAAGAACGGGCAAGAGAGAGAGGGAGGGAGAGAGAGAGAACCTGAGGAAACGGGGAGTTCTTTTCCAAAGATAGAAGTAGGAAGAGAGAGAGAGATAGGGGAGAAGTGATCGTTGGAGATGGGGGGCAAGATGAGTGGACCACTCACCACGTCTGCTTGTCGCTCTCTCGATCTGGGCGGTCATTGTGGACGCAACACCACAATCTCTCCCTCCCCATTTTGACCTTCCTCCTTCCTTCCTTCCTCCCTCCCACCAAATCCGTGAAAAACAATTCATTTCAAATTCAGATATTTCATGATCAGATCGGAGAAAAGAGCGACTCACGTGTGGGGCTCTCGCCCCCTTCTGCCCTTTCCAAGAACTGCACTCTCTCTCTCTCTCGCTCCAAGAAGTCTTCAACGCCGACAATCAGGAAGATTTCTTCTTTCCATGAATGATAAGATGTTCGCAACTCTTCCCGAGCTCCCCACTGATTTGACATGATCGTAGTACTTCTGTGTCCCACATGCTATGCAGATGTCGGAACTTGGTTCGCCTTTCATTGTTAAAGATTATATCATTGAGCGCCGTGGGTGGGGCGTGGGACCCCTACTAAGTAGCTAAATAGAATTGATTTTTAGATAACTCATATTTTTTTTTAGTTAAACATGCTTAATCAGTGTTTCGGAGGCTATCCCTGTTATTTAAAAAATATGATTAGAGGAAATCGCAAGGACTTATCAACTACCTTGCACATGTTAATTCAATGATAGGAAGATTAATGGGCCCGTTTCGATGCGTCGTATGCTTTGGTAGCGAATGAAGCATTCTCGTTGAACGAGTTCGAAGGAAATAAGAAATAGATTTTTATTTTGGTTTGCAGATGAGTTTACGAGAAAAAACCCGTTTGATAATAACAAAAATTTCTATTTCTAGAACGGCAGTTTGATAACAAGACAAAATTTCTATTTCGAAATAAAAACCCGTTTGATAAACAACGAGAAAATTCTATTTCAGGAACAAAAATCCATTTTTTTAGAAATGGAATAAAAATAATAAAAAATTCATAAAAATCTTTAAAAAATTCAAAAAATCCCAAAAAATTGAAAAATTCAGAAAAATCATCAAAATGTCGAGAAAATAAAAAAATTTAGATTTCGGGAAAATAGGAAATTTGTTGAATTTTTCAAAAAAATCAAGAAATCAAAAATTTCAAAACTTCAAGAATTGCTTAGAATACTGTGGCTACTCACTTTTAGTGAAATTTAAATTTTTAGGTGCGAAAAAAATCAAAAAATCAAAAAATTCAAAACTTCACAGAATAGTTTAGAATACATGTGGTACCCACTTTGAGTGAAATTTAATTTTTTAAGGTGCCCAAAAATTCAAAAACTCAAAAATTTCAAAACTTTACAAAATGGCTTAGAATACTTGCACCACTTTGAGTGAAATTTTAATTGTTGGAGGTGAAAAAAGCAAAAAATCAAAAATTTCAAAACTTCACGGAATGACTTAGAATACATGTGGCCATCCACTTTGAGTGAAATTTAAAATTTTTTAGGTGAAAAAAACATAAAAAATCAAAAATTTCAAAACTTCACTGAGAATGACTTACAATACTCTAGCCACCCACTTTGAGTAAAATTTAATTTTTTTAGATGCCCAAATGGTATCTTTTATTTTTTTGGTTCCTAAAAAAATTAAATTTCACTCAAAGTGGATGGCCACTGATTCTAAGCCACTCGTGAAGTTTTGAAAATTTTCTTTTTGCATATTTTTTTCGACACCTAAAAAATTAAATTTCACTCAAAGTGGATGGCCACAGGTATTCTAAGCAATTATGTGAAGTTTTTATTTTTTATTTTTTTCGGCACCTAAAAAATTTAAATTTCGCTTAAAGTGGATGGCGCACAGTATTTAAGCCATTTTGTGAAGTTTTGAAATTTTTTTTTTTTTTTTTTTTTTATTTTTTCGGCACCTAAAAAAATAAAATTTCGCTCAAAGTGGGTGGCGCGGGTATTTTAAGCATTCTGTAAAGTTTTGAAATTTTTACTTTTTGCTTATTTTTATTTTTTTTGGAATATAAAAAATTAAAATTTATTTCAAAGTGGGTGGCGCGAGGTATTTTAAGCTGATTCGTGAAGTTTTGAAATTTTTTATTTTTTTATTTTTTCGGCACCTAAAAAATTTAAATTTCACTCAAAGTGAATGGCCACAAGTATTCTAAGCCATTCGTGAAGTTTTGAAATTTTTGATTTTTGCTTTTTTATTTTTTCGGCACCTAAAAAAATAAAATTTCGCTCAAATTGGGTGACCACATGTATTCTAAGATATTTGTGAAGTTTTTAAATTTTAGAAATTTTTATTTTTTTGGCAACTAAAAAATTAAATTTTGCTCAAAGTGGGTGGCTATAGGTTTTCTAAGCCATTTTGTGAAATTTTTATTTTTATTTTTATTTATTTTTATTTATTTTTTTGGTACCTAAAAAATTTAAATTTCTGAAAGTGGGTAGTCACGGATTCTAAACCATTCTGTTAAGTTTTGAAATTTTTGATTTTTCACTTTTTTCTCACCTCAAAGATCGTGACTTCCATATGAATATGTGTGTTGAAGAAAATGAATTCCTCATAAATGGTTCTCACTTTTGTTCGAAATGAAAAACCAACTTTTTTTGGTTCTTATTTCGGTTTCAGAATCGAGTTTTGGAAGCAAACTTGTCCAGGAAATAGAAAAATGAAATTGAGTTACCAAACGGGTTTACGGTCCAAAAGCGATCAGGAAAAAAACCGGTTCGACGAACCAGAATGGTTTTCATGCAGCACCTTTATTTCAAAGGTTAGGAAGTGTAACGACCTGGGTCCCACTCGCAAGATATTGTCCGCTTTGGACACTACTAAGTCCTCACGATTTTGTTCCTCCGAGGGCAGCCCATACTATTCCCAGAAAAGGCCTCTTACAAGTTAACCCTCATCGGACCGGATTGTCACATTCTCCCCTCCTTCGAGCACAGCGTCTTTGCTGTGGGCCCACATGCGGTCGGAAGTCGACTCTGATACTACCTGTAAAGACCTGGGTCTCACTCGTAAGATATTATCCGCTTTGGATACTAAGTCTTCACGATTTTGTTCCTCCGAGAGCAGCCCATACTACTCCCGAAAAAAGGCCTCTTGCAAGTTAAGGCTCCCCAAGCCTTTATAAGTTATCCAGGACTCCCCCCTCAAGCGACGTGGAACAGGAGAGACGTGCCCCTTCGCCATCTTAGAAGCCTGTCAGGAGCCGCTCCTTGTCCAAGTCCTCGAACCCCGGCGATCACTCCCCGCCCTCATCGAACCGGGTTGTCACAGGAAGTATAACAAACAAGAGTAATTTCGATTTAATTGAACATAGTCTTGGCTTTATTGTTATCTGCATTTTGTATTGAGATTCAAAGTACAGGTCTGATAAATAGAAGATGGAAAGTTGAAATCGAGTGAAATCTGAGTGTGATTTGCTGAGGGGGTGCTATTTTCATCCCCTTTTTGGCTTGATGCACACCTTTTATTATCAATTGAGCAAAAAAACCTTCTATCGTAGGAAAGAAAATCGGTTACCCATTCACCTCACATTTGTCTCTTCCATTTCGGCCGAATACCTTAAAAAACCCCAAACTTTAAATCCACACTCAATTCTACCCCAAACTTTTTTTTTGTCTCATAATGAGGGGCGATTCGACCAGCATCATATTATTACTACTCATCAAGAGTTCCCAGTTTTCGAAATCGTGGATCGGATTGCCAAGCCTTGGGGTCCGACCAACCAGTCCGATCCCGTTCCCAGGTGGTCCAATGGAACCGGTTGGGCTATGTAAAGCCCAAGTTACAACGCCTCTTCCTTTTCATTGAACTAAGTGAAAAACACTCTGCTGAAGAGAAGTTTAGTCGTAATTCTTTCAAGCTCCCTCCTCAATCGCATTCCATAGACATGCCACAACTATCAGCCACTCCCGTGGCCTGTTACCTCCCCAAATCAAATGAAAGCCCTAATTTTATTCCCATTTTTCAATCAGAAATCAACTTGAAAAGATTGAGTCATGGACAAGTCTGACCCCAAACCACACAAATCCGGCAATATTCTTTCTGTCTTAATATCGGTTGAAGAGATTGGACGATTCAGAGACTTTTGCCCACACATCACACGGCTAGACCTAGATCGGACAAGTCTCGTGAAAATGAACGGGGAGACACGGGAAATGCCACACGAAAAAGGGCAAAAGAGCATTAGCTTGATGCAAGAGACGAGGCGAGAGTCAAGAGGAGGCGAGAGGTTGCGTTGAGCTCGAGCGAAAAACAACAAGAAACAGAGCAAGAGAGGAGGTGAGAGTTGAGACGAGACCGCGAGAGAAAGGCGTCAAACTTGAGCGAAAGGGACGCGTCGTTGTCTGAGAGTCGATCAAGAGGGACGAGCGGGAAAGAGGCGGAGGCGGCGAGATGCGATTGTGAGTTGAGAGGGAACACTAAAGACAGTGAAGAGCGAGACCGTGTCATGAAATCGCGTGAGCTGAAGACAGGACATTGGATAGGAGGGCGAGGGTGTGTAAATTAGGTTTACACTTTAAGAAATTAAAAAAAATAATAAATATATAAGTTGGTATGGTCTGAGTGGTCCGGTTCCTACCTTGAAACCAGGAACTGGACCAAAAACCATCGATTCGAATTCTAATAGAATCGAGAACTAGATCAGCGCCCTCTGGAACTACCCTTGTATGAAACCGCATCGGTCAGTCTGTCTTGCTCGCCCATATAAAAAACCACTTACTTTTACGCGAGTATCAAATCTGTCCTCGTTAACCCTCTGCCCAAAGTTTCTCCTTAACAACCGAGAGATGGAAAACTCTCAAAAGCGAACTGTTAAAGCATACCGGGCCGAATGTCCTAAGTGGGAGCTCTTCGATAGCAAGAGATGGAAGACTCTCGAGCACGAGAGATTGAAGACTGAGCGCAAAATCGAAGATCCCCAAGCAAGATGGAATGAAGACTAGGAGTGAGCGGTTCCAAGTTCCTTACAGGTTTCACCTGGAACCTACCATCGGGTATAGGTTCCCCATTTTTTAGAACCTAGAATCTATCACGTCCGAACCTAAAACCTGGAACCTACATTGTCATAAGTTCCAGGGTAGGTTCCAGGATCTAACAGGTTTCTTTTTTTAGTGCATTTTTAGTTAAACAAAACAAAAATGAATGCAACAATACTAAATAAGCTTGTCATTCATAAAAAAGAATACAAAAGACTAGTTTTCCTTGTATTATGGTTCAAATAAATATAACTAAAATGAGAAGTCATTGCGTGAATCAATACTAGGAGTAAGCAGTTCCATGTTCCGTATTGGTTCCACCCATGATAATAGGTTCCTTATTTTTTAAAACTTAAAACCTATCCTATCATAGGTTCGAGGGTCGGTTCTAGAGTCTACTCAGGTTCCACCTATATTATTAAATGAACAATTACAGTGAATCATCACTTTTAATAACTATCACTTGCTGCTATGATCCAATAACCACAACTTATATTTAGATATATAAAAAATATGAAATATTAATAAATCATAAAATGAAGTTCAGATTAGTAGTTTCAAATCACACACTCATCATATAATGCCATGACACACCACAGGATCACGAGAAGACAAGTTCAGGTTCCAGGTTTCACCTATCTAGAACCTAGAATCTACCCGTCGAAACAAGTTTTTCAATTTTTGGAACCTATAACCTATCCTGCTTACCTTGGAACCTATAGCTTACAGGTTCTCATTGGTCAGATTCTTAGGTTTCAGGGTAGAACTTAGAACCATGCTCATCCCTAATGAAGACCCTCTTAGGAGTAAGAGCAATTAAAGAAAGCCAACCTGATTGCTCTAGTTTGTACCCAAATTTCAGATCTAAGAATACGTCATTGGAGTTGATGTGGAAATTCATCTCCGTGATACTTCTTCTTGGATTTGAAATTTGGGGAAAAACTAGAGCAATGATGTGGAAAATGCCACGAAGGATCATTAAGAGCGATTTTCGACGGAGAGTTAACGGGACAAAAATGGGACTCAAGTAAACGTTAGTGGTTTTTTATGAGACAAAAAAAAAGTTTAGGGTAGAATTAGAACCAGAGATAAAGTAGGTTTTTTTGGTCCTCCCATTGCTATTCTTCACCTTATATTTTTATTGCTAACTGACTAAAATATCCTTCTATTTTAAAAAACGATTAATCATTAATTAAGCATACCTTTTCTCATGTTTTGTTTCCCACTATCATCACTGCTTCTCCCATCTACGTTCTAAATTTTGTAAAAAAATTTCAATCTTCGGTCGAGAAAATACTACTTTACTTAGACTATTAATTCTTTAATGTAACTTTTCTATTCATTTAATAGCAACGAAATGGCACGAACCCTACCTCGAATGGGGCACATTTTTTTCCGGTAAAAAATGCCCTGCTGGACATATGGTAAAGGCAACGGGTGGAGCAAGATGAGACGGGTAAAAGCAAAGTAAAATTTTATGGGCTAAAGTCGCAAACCTAAAAATATTACGAAAATTTAATCGGTCATAAATTAGAAAGAAAATGGGAGAATAGTGGGAAACAAGACACGAGGAAAATTAAAGTATGCTTTATCAATGATTAATAACAATAAACATGGAAGGTGAAGAAAAGAGACGGGGACCCAGAAGGTTATTTTGGTCAATCGATGATAAAAACGCGCGTCGGTCTACCCTCTGCCTATAATAATCCCACTTTTGTTATCCACATTTGCTATGGGCCGCTCTGTAATGGGCCTAAACATGCGGTGAGCCCATGCAGACGTGGCGGGGGCGTAAGGGCGAAGTTACCCTTTTACCCCCCTCCATCCGTCGTAGGTTTAAATTGCAATTATCAGGTCCTTAAATAATATCAAAAAAATACATGAAAATGCCGAAAACGACCTTCCCCTGTAGATTCAGAACAAAACAAAAATAAAAAGATGCTCTCGTCAATAAATATAAAAAAAGGGAAAGAAAGTTATTCCGTTCTTATCCGCTAACGAAGTTTTCCAGTTTTGTCATTTAAAAAAGAAAATTAGGAAACCTGCTCGACACTTTGCCAAGTTTTTTTTTTTTTTTTTTAATATTATGTAATGGGCATCCCAATATAATATAATATAATATAAATCTTTGGGAAGGAAGGAAGCACCACCAAGCGCCCAGCACACGTGGCACGCAATCACCGCCACGCTCCGTCCCCTCCTCTTATATGCCTCCACATCGCCCCCTCCCCCCACCCTCCCCGTCCTTCGTCTTCGTCTTCCCCGATTCCTCCACAGGCTCTTCTCCTCGATTTCGCTCGCAGTCCCGATCACGAACCCTAGGCGGCACCCCCGCACCGCTCCAGGTTCGCCTTCTCTTTCTCGCTTTATCTCTCGCGTGCGTGCGTGCGTGCGTGTGTGTGTGTCTGTCTACGATGGCTCTCGATCCGTCTTGTCTCCGGCTCTCGAGGCTGGGGGCGGGGTCGGCCCTTTGCGCGCGCGCGCTCGTGCTGGGCGGCGTGCTCGTGCGCTCGTCTGTGTAAATTCCCGCCCAGGTTCGTGCTTTTCCGGCTCCGATCGTCGCTTGATCATCCTCGATCGTGCTTCTGTTCTCTCTTTCGCTCCCTTTTTGTTTTGTCGATTTGTGTGTGCGCGCGCGTTTCAGTGGGGCGTCTGCTAGGTCTCTCGTTTTTTCTTCATTTTTTTCTTGTTTTTGTGGAGGTGGGTCGGCTTTGACTTCTCTCTGGGTGATACAGTGATGTCACGATTTAGTTCGGTGCTTCGAGGTGTCTCCTCACCTGTGAATATGCGGGTGCTTCGTGCCCCTTTGTCCTGGCTTCAGTAGTTATTTGGTCTAAGAGGATGAGAAGGATATTGATTCGCTAGTTTTATTTCTGATCGTGTTTGATGTTCGCGGAGGAGTTAGCTTACAAGGACTTGTCTAGAGTCGGTTAAATAATGACACGGGGTTCTGATACCCTGTTTGCGCATAAACAAGTGAGGGCAATGATTCCGTGGACGTGACACTGCTTCTGAATGTTATGAGGTTCTGGGTGATCGTGCTTTGCATTTGCGTGGAATTGAAATTCGCAGCCGATCGCTCCTGCCCGTGTTTGGTTTGTGGACGGTATGCTTAAGTTTTTGGGGATTCGTCAATCTGGAATTAACTTGGCCAGAATTTTGATTCAGGAAGTAAAGGCTTCAGGAGCTCTTGATTCTGGGATGGCTTCGAAGCGGATTAACAAGGAGTTGAAGGACCTGCAGAAGGACCCTCCTGTTTCTTGCAGTGCTGGTTTGTATTTTTAGCTGCTTAAGTGCTTATCTTTGATTGATTTAAATGAGAAGCTGTTTGATTCTTACTTCTTGAATCATGAATGGTGTGTACATATTCCATGATAATTTATTTGGAGACATATCTGCTCGCGTGGGCTTTTTGTTTGGGATGTGATGGTGTATAAATCGCCAATATAGTTGGTATAGTTATTCATTAGACGAGGTTTTTGAACTATCGGATGAGTGACATTTGTAGATGCGGTGACTGCAAGCTAGTATTTGCACATGGATCATTGTCGCCGCATATGGTTATGTATATACTAGTTGGCACCTCTTTTTCACGTAATGTGAGGATATATACTGCTTAGCACCTTTTGGTTTAGGTTATGATATCAGGTCTAAGCTTTTCATTTCCATTGTTGAAATCGAGCAGATGGCAAGGTTTTGGGCTAATTTTGAAAGGCAATTTGTTATTTTTCTGCATCTCATCATTATTTTCTTCTTGTACTCAGGTCCTGTTGCTGATGACATGTTCCATTGGCAAGCAACAATTATGGGTCCTACAGACAGCCCATTTGCTGGGGGTGTGTTCCTTGTCTCCATTCATTTCCCACCCGATTATCCATTCAAGCCACCCAAGGTAACTTTACCCTATCTCATTGAACTACGCCGTGACTTGATATTGTGTTGTCATGTATCTCTCAATAATTACTCATATCTTGGCATTGTAATTGGATTCTGCAAACTGATGCCTAGTCAGTCGGTTGAGTTTTATGTAACGATTTTGGATGAGAATGTATGCATATTCTTGACAGGTTTCCTTTAGGACAAAAGTTTTCCACCCCAATATTAACAGCAATGGTAGCATTTGTCTCGATATTCTCAAGGAGCAATGGAGCCCTGCCCTTACAATATCGAAGGTAGTCTTCCTGTCCATTAGCATTATTTGACATGGATATTTTTTGGCGACCATCTTGTTTGTGCTCATGTTGGAAATTGGGAATACATTTAAGAGCCGCTTCTTCCTTGCTTGCTTGATAGGGGAGCTTCCAGTAACCAGCACAAATTGAAAGTGCTTTGTTATGCAAATCGGTTTGATTGCCTTCTCTGATTGCATATTTTGCGAATGCAGGTTCTTCTTTCAATATGCTCTCTCCTGACTGATCCGAACCCTGATGATCCTCTGGTTCCAGAGATCGCACACATGTACAAGACGGACAGGGCAAAGTACGAGACCACTGCTCGATCCTGGACTCAAAAGTACGCGATGGGATAGGGCTCTCTTTGGTTATGAGATACATCAGCTCGCCGGCCGTTAGTAATTTTATTGAATAAATAGAAACCAGTGGGTCTGCTGTGGAGAAACTTTTTAGTTTGGTTGGTTGTTATTGTCTCTTTGGGGGTTAGAAGAAGGGTATATGTGGATTCCTTGGAACTGAGGTGCAATTGAGTCGGGTCTTTAAATAGTTTTTAGTCGGGGTGTTTATGTTCTTGCTTTAATTGTCTTGCTGATGGATTTGAATGGTTACGATCCATCGAGTCTGCAAAATACAATTAATGAGTTAATACAAGTTCCTACTAAAATAGTGGTTTGAGTAGTGAATTCTTTCGATCTTATGTATGTAAGAATGCATTGGTATTGGTAAAGTGGTGGTGATCATCATTTGGGAAAAGTTTCCGAACAGAAAATAAACTTGCTATCTTAATCAGTTCCTTCTGGGAGAATTATTCCAAAAGTCCTAAATCTTTCTATTGTTTAAATTTAGTTTTAAATCTTTTGACAACTTGTCATTTTAGTTCTAAACTTTTCAATTGTATTAATTTAGCCATAAATATTTTGATGATTTGTCAATTTAGTTGTAAATTATTTAACGATTTGTCAATTTAGTTATTTTGGTCAATTTTGTTTGGAAATCGCTAACATGGATGCCAGCCATTCTACATGGCGGGGCCTCGCACTGACGTGAATAAAATTTGCTTTTTTTTTTTTTTAAATCATCTTTTTCCTTTTTCCTTTTCTTTCACTTTGGCCAGTGGGCAAATATCGGCCATGGTCGATGACTGGCCATGGTCGGACGAGGGCTTGACCCTCACGGCTAGGGGTGAGCGGTTTTAGGTTCCTTACAGGTTCCACTTGGAATTTACACTCGGATACAGATTTCTCATTTTTGAAACTTGGAACCTATCCGTTGGAACTTGGAACCTAGGATCTACCCCGTCACAGGTTCTAGAGTAGATTTCAGGGTCTAACGGGTTTTTTTTTTAAATTAATTTTTAGTTAAACTAAACGAAAATGAACGCAACAATACCGAACAAGCTTGTCATTCATGATATTATGATTCAAATAAAGACAATTAAAATGAGAAGTCATTGTGTAAATCGATATTATGAGTGAGTGGTTTCATGTTCCATGCAGGTTCTACTTTGAACTTACTCATGAGAATAGGTTTCTCATTTTTTGAAATTTGGAACCTACCATATCATAGGTTCCAGGTTGGTTCTGGGGTCTATCCAGGTTCCATCACTTGCTGTTTTGATCCGCTGACCACAACTTATATTTAGACACGCGATGAATAATAAACATTAACAAGTCATAAAATGAAAGCTCAGACTAGTGATTTTAGGTTATACACTCATCATCTAACGCTATGAAACACCACAGAATCACGTGAAAACATAGGCAAAAAAAATACAAAAAATTTATTTAGATTTCAGGTTCCAGGTTTCACCTAGAACCTGGAATCTGCCCGTCGAAACAGGTTCCCCAATTTTTGAAACCTAGAACCTACCCTACATACCTTAGAACCTATAAGTTTTCATCAGTCAGGTTCTCAGGTTTCAGGGTAGAACCTGGAACCATACTCACCCCTACTCACGGCTAAGGCGAGGGTCGCTTTTTCGGATTTGGTGAGGAACACTCTTGCCCAGGCCATGAGAGTCGAGCTCTCACCAGATCCGGCGAGGGCGGTATTGCCAAATTCGACAAGGGATGCCCTCACCTAGGCCGCGAGGTTTGAGACCTCGCTTGTGGTCGATAGCCGGCCACAGGCTAAAGGGAAAGAAAAGGAAAACAAAAAAGAAAAAAAGAAATTTAAAAAAAATGCAAAAATTATCTATGTCAATATTGGCCACGCCACGTAAGATGGTTGGCATATACGCTAGTAATTTTCTATCAAAATTGATCGGTAGGACTAAATTGGTAAGTCGTTAGAAAGTTTATGACTGAATTGACATAATTAAAAAATTTATAACTAAATTAGCAAGTTGTCAAAAGATTTATGACAAAATTGGAACAATTAAAAGATTTATGACTAAATAGGCAACCGCACAATAATTTTAGGATTTTTTGGACAATTATCCCAAAGTTCTTTTGGTCCAATTTTCTTAAAAAGTATCGATTTTAACTTGGGATTAAATTTTAATTCAAATTCTTTTGTCTAATAAAATAATTCAAACTTCTGTTTGAATCTCAAGTTTAGCCATAACTTCGTTTGTCTCTTTATAAACCACCAATTTTTTTTATCGGTATCTAAATTTGGCTATTGTCAAGTTGTCATCTAATTGATATTCTTAAAATGCGACATGACATTTCATGTGTACTCGGTGATTCATGGCGACGTTGACATGGAAGAATTGCACATAGTTCGAGTGCTTTCCTTGTTTTCGGACGAACCAATTGTGAGATCAAGATTTCGTTTTTTTTTTTTTTTTCAGTTTATGGACACGTTCGGATCTGATGAAGCCCTGGGTAAATTCTTCATTAATTTCGATCTTTGTAGCCAAAATCCAAACATTAAGGGCGCGAATTATAACCATTCTATTTCCCTTTTTTTTTTGTTCCCGGAAATAGATTTGAAACAGAAATCCATTTGATAAAATAATTTCATTTTTCTATTTTCAGGATAAATTTTTAGCTCAGAAATAAGTTTGAAGTTAAAATTTTCTACTTTTCTATTTATGAAACAGAAAAAGAAATAACAATTCTCTTTTTATTATTCGCCATTGCTGCCCACTGCCACCCTGCCGGCCATCCGCCTCCACTCATCCCATCCACCGCCCGCCCATCGACCGTCCGCCTCCACCCGTTGCCATCGCACAGCTGCGGGGAGCATAAATTTAAGAATAATCTATCAAACGAATTTCTATTTCGGGAACATAAATTTTTTGTTTACTCAGAAACTCATATGAGGAATAGAAATAGGGCCGATGAATAGAAATTTTATCATTCGCATCTTAATGCTCACATTTCTTCGTTTAGTTTGGTTTGATACTATTCAAATTTCGATAGTAGCCACGATGACAGTAGAGTTGCTGAGTACACATATAATGACATGTCGAATATTCAATGGATCATTGAATAGAAATTTGACAAGGCTAGATGAGGGTACCAACTGAAAGCAACTGTTTTACGAGACAACAAAAAATATGGACCAATACTTAAGATCTGAATTAAAATTGATATTATTTAAGGGAATTTGGCCCATCGTTTCCTTACCCTCTTTCATCCCAAGCACGGCATGCATGGATATGCATATCGATTTCATGTTTTAAGACTTTCAGGTTCGTCATTTACAAGATGCGATATGTAACTTTTTCATCTATATAAAAATGTTCCAATGACGTAACAATTTTGAATTGTGGACGAAAATACGGTAAATTTCATTTGAGGGTGTTAAACTTTTGTGATCCTACAATCTAAGTCGTCAAACTTTGATATTAGTTACACAGTATATCAAGCTTTCATGTCCTTACACAATATATGTACTCCAATTAATTGCCAAGTGAACCCAAGCTTCAAAAAAGAAAAAGAAAAAGAAAATAATCAGTGAAAAGCAAATTTATTTTAAAAGCATTTTTTGATTTCGAACTCGCATACGTCTAATTTAATGTTGAGCGGTTGCCACCTCGGCACATTACAAATGGGTCCTATTTAGATCATGGTGTTCTAACTACAAAGAAAAAGAAACAAGAAATTGCACTAAGGGTGCGCATGAATACCATTCGTGCTCTGGGAACTATTTCCGAACAGAAATTTTTTTTTTTATTCGTGCCCGGAAACAATTTCTCGAGTATTTGAAGGCGTTTGATAAACTGTCAAAATTTCTATTCCTAGAGTAGAAAGAACAGAAATGCGTTTGGTAACTACACAAAATTTCTATTACCAAATAATATTTTAATAATATTTTGAATTGTTAAATTTTTTTTTCTTTCTACCATTTTCTTCTTTGGCCATGGCCGGTTGTCGGCGACCGCCTGACCAGAAGCCGCGAGGGCGAGGGTGGACCCTCGCCGCTTGGGCGAGGCCGAGAGCCTCGCCAGGTGGTCGCGACGGCGAGGTCGGCCTCGCTCGAGGCGGCGAGGTCGAGCCTCGCAGGTGTGGGTCGTGACGGCGAGGCTCGGCCTCGCCGGATCCGGGCGAGGCCGAGCCTCGCCATCTCTAGGCGAGGCCGACCTTGCCGTTGCGACCCACGGCGAGGCTCGGCCTCGCCCGATCCGGGCGAGGCGACCTCGCCTCCGGCGGCTGCGAGGGCCGTGACGCCCTCGCCGGCCCGGGCTATGGCCGGTTGCCACGGCCGGCCCAAATTTGAGGGAAGAACAACACAAAAATAAGAAAAGAAAAAAAGCGATTCTCGGGAATTGTGCCGAGAAACAAGAAGCAACTTTTTTTTTACTTCTTGTTTTTCGGCAAATTTTGCAAAAATGTCTAGGAACAAAAGTTTTTCGCATTGCTAAACTATTTTGAACAAAAGACGAAATTTTTGTTTACGTTTAAACGGGCTAAGAGTCGGATGATCTAGGAATTATTCCGCTACAACTTTAAGAAAGTCGAAATACTCTTATTGTCTTTATCAATTTTACTAAAAATTTCAGAAAGTTGTGAAAAGGATTGCATATGAATTTACTGGTGGGCATTTGCGTACGATGAAACTTTCAAATATTTAAGATCAACAAAAAGCAAAATGCAAGAAAATTTGGAAAATCGCTCCAAACAAAATCCATTAACATAGCCAACAAATTTCATCTCGAGCCCGTGGTATCACACACGCATCAAATGCCCACGCGCGAGAAGTTAAAGGTAAAAATTCCAGATAATTACCGGCCGGTAGAGTAAAAAAAGGAAAACCCATTATTTTATGTTAAAGGAAAAATACCATAAAAAACTTTAAATTATGCCACTTGTGACAAATTTACCCTGAACTTTTTTTTGTGATATGCCACTTGTGACACATTTATCTCACAACACTTTTGGCCTAAGGGCATTTTCGCCTTTTTCCTTTTTCTGTTTTTTTTTCTTTTGTTTCCCTTTCTTCTCTCTTCCCTCCGCCGGCGTTGGGGTCGGGTGAGAGTTGCCCTCGCCAAAGTATTATGGGGTAAATGTATCATAAATGACATAATTTTGAGTTTTTAGTACCACAAAAAAAAAAGTTAAGGATAAATTTATTACAAGTACCATAATTTGGGATTTTTTATTGTGTTTTCCTTATGATAAAATAAGATAATAAATTACAGATGGAGAGACACGTGAATGTCATGTGTATTTCTGCAAATCTCGTCGTCAATTGCCAAAAAAAATGATAAATCGGCACCGTCTTCTCTCTCTCTCCCTCTCTCTGTGGATTCGACGGGATCCAGTCACCGTCAAGTTGCTGTTGGCCCTCTCCCTCACTATAAATCGCTTTTTCTTCTCCTTCATGAAATTCTGCTTAAAGGGATATTGACGCAACCTCCGTCCGATATCGGGTATCTGTTCTGCGAGATTTTTGGCGTTCCCAGATCGGTCCCCCCGCGTCTCCTCCAATCGCACGAATCCGCCCGAGAGAGGTGAATCCCCAGTGGTCTCTTGTGTGTTCTTCGTTCGTTCTTTGTTTTTGTTTGCTCTTCATTCGATTCGATTTCGTCGCCCGAGAATCGATTCTGGCACCCTTCCGATTTCCATCGTCTCGCGGTTTTGGCTCCGCGTCTAGCCCCCACAGCTCGAGCCGCGAGGGTTGTTTTTCTTTTTTTTTGTTTCTTGGCTTTTTGCCGCGCCGCGGCTTTTGGCTTCCTGTTGCGTATCGAGCTTGTTCTGGGGGTTCATGCGTTCGGTGGCCCCGTGCGCGCGCGGTGTTTGTTTGCTCTTGTTGTTGCCGCGATTTACTTGTCGTCGTCGAGGTTGGGGCACCGGTAGGGAGGGATTAGGTTGTTGCCGTTCCGCCGTTCGTGTCGAGTTCGCGCAAAGCATGTGGCTCGTGAGTGGTGTGGGGGGCGCTTAGGAGTGTTGTGAGCGCGTGGGAGGGTATTTTGTCAAATGGGTTGGTTCCTACTGCCTTGCTGTTCGTGTTGTTAGTGTGTTGCAGTGATGGGATTGGGGGGGGAGAGGGGAACGAAATTTGAGTGGGGGATTTGCTCTGTCGAAAGTAGCGCGATTTAATCGCTTCAGCGTTCGCATTTCTGGAGTGTGGACAATTGGTTCTACATGGTTTCATGAACGCCATGTTACCCTCCCCTTCTCCTTATACAGGTGATAAGTATGATTGGCGTATCATTTGTTGTTTGTTGCTTTCTTTTGTGGTTTTGGGTCACAAGGGAAGATGAGCTCCTGGGTATTAATCAGTGTAGGTGGTTTCATGTGCTCGAGGGGAAGATTGTTGTAGCTTATGCTCCTTATAGTATCGATTGCACCGCCATTTTTCACCTCATAGAGCTGGTGAACACGCTTTTCAGTCCTTTCAAAAAAAAAAAAAAAATTTCCTGGGGTTCGTATGTTCTTTGCCCTCCCCTTCTTGTTTATTTCATTGTGCACTCTGTATCATTTGGCAAACTGTGTAGAAAGGTCTACATGATTTTGTTCAATGTAGCTTTCTCTGTTTGTTTTTGGTAATCTTATGTCAATTTGCTTTTCAGTAGGTTCATTGTTGGGATAAAGATGTCCCATTACCAAGGGGACGATGGTGAGTATGTGGCAGACGACTATGAAGCAGAAGATGTTGATGTTGATGAAGAGTTCCGTGGGGCCGACCCAGAATCTGATGTTGATGAATTAGACATGTCGGTTAGTAATCCGTTTTGTTATCATTACAATTGTATTCAAGGCTCATTTTATTATAATCTGTGTTTCAAGCATTTTGAACTGTTTTTCAGTTCGGCCCTTACATAGCAGTGACTCATTTTTGCCCCCTCTCTCTCTCTCCCCCCTTTTTATTCGCTGGGTATTTCTCTTACGCAGAATAATAGATTTACCGATACTACTGCTGATCAAGCAAGAAGAGGAAGAGATATTCAGGGAATTCCTTGGGAAAGGCTTAGCATCACAAGGGGGAAGTACCGGCAGACTAGGCTAGAACAATATAAGAATTATGAAAATGTTCCTCAGTCTGGAGAGAAATCAGAGAAGGTAAAAACAGTCTGTTTTGCGATCTTTTCCTCTCTTTTCAACATCCATTTTTATCAATAGGGAATAATAGGGATTGTAGGTGTATTTGTTGGATCAATGTCAGTCTACAACCATTTGATGTGTGTGTCTACATCACAGGATTGCACAGTTACAGAGAAAGGTAACTCATTTTATGAGTTTAGACGGAACTCAAGATCGGTCAAATCTACTATTCTTCATTTCCAGGTAAGCGGAGGGTGGTTTTGCATCCTATTGCTGTTGTTTATCTGCATATTACTTAAGTTTTTTAAGGTGGGGAGCCCCTAGAGTGTCTATTAGGGTTCTGAAGTATCAATTGATATCTGCACGTTGAAATAAATTGGTCATTTCAGCCCATGGTATTACAATCAATAGTGGGTTTCTTTTATTGATTGGGCAAGTTAAAAGTTTTTACAGTTTTGCGGGGTGTAGGACTGATCATATCATCATCTTTTTTGGTCATTGTAGTTGAGGAACTTGGTTTGGGCAACATCAAAGCACGATGTTTACTTGATGTCAAACTATTCTGTCGTTCATTGGTCTTCATTGACGGGCAAGAAGTCTGAAGTTCTTAATCTCGCAGGACATGTGGCACCAAATGAGGTGGGTACTCTTCATATATCACTCTATCGAGGTTTATGATTATTGCGAGCTACTAATTAACAAGATAAATCTTGTTCTCAGAAACATCCTGGAAGCTTGTTGGAAGGATTTACGCAGACTCAAGTTAGTACTCTAGCAGTAAAGGATAGATTTCTAGTTGCAGGCGGGTTTCAGGGAGAGCTCATATGTAAGGTAAATTCTGTAACAGTGGACTCAGATTGGGTAAAAAATTTTCTCTATGTTTAGATGATTGCATATAAGCATATTAAGATCGAGGGTTCTTCACAAAATATCCAATTATTCGGCTTAAACATTTGATTTGGTAAGTTTTCTTCATGGATGCTCTCAAATATGATCCAGAGCTGTGATTTTCAGATATATTGTCTTTTTAGTGGGATGATCAGGGAATTGCCTTGGCTGCAATTATATTATTTAAAAGAGTGCTGTGAGTTAAACATTGGCATACCTATCGGTAAGATTTTATCACTTATCCTGTTGGTGTGCAGTTTCTAGATCGGCCTGGAATTAGCTTCTGTTCCAGGACAACTTATGATGATAATGCCATCACAAATGCGGTTGAGATATATGTCAGTCCCAGGTCCAGTGTTGCTACCTCAATGATCTTTCCCTCGTCAAATTAGTTCCGTTAAATATGATGCTAATTCCTTTTATTAATTTTTCAGCGGTGGAATTCACTTTATAGCATCGAACAATGACTGTGGAGTCAGAGACTTTGATATGGAAAGTTTTGAACTGTCTAAACATTTCCGTTACCCTTGGCCTGTGAATGTAAGGGTCTTGCATTTTCCTTCTTTGGTTATTTGAGAAATGGTTTCGGTTTCGATAGTTATTGTTGGTCTCTTTTTCTGAGAATGGGTTTTTGTGTATTTATTTATTCGGTTGCAGCATACTTCTTTGAGTCCGGATGGGAAGCTCCTTGTCATAGTTGGCGATGATCCTGATGGTATTCTGGTTGATGCAAAAACTGGAAAAGTAATATACTCTTCCACATCTTGTCTGCTTAGTTCGTTTTATCAGATATATTTGAATTCTTTATACTTACCAGAGTACTCATTCTTTGCAGACAATCATGCCGTTATGCGGGCATTTGGATTTCTCCTTTGCATCTGAGTGGCACCCAGATGGCGTCACTTTTGCTACGGGAAACCAGGACAAAACTTGTAGGATTTGGGACATACGGAACTTATCTAAGTCGATTGCTGTTTTGAAAGGCAACCTTGGAGCCATACGGTCTATCCGCTATACATCCGATGGCCGGTATATGGCGATGGCAGAACCTGCAGATTTCGTCCATGTCTACGATACAAAAGCGGGGTACGAGAAAGAGCAGGAGATCGACTTTTTCGGTGAGATATCCGGCATGTCATTCAGTCCCGACACTGAGTCGCTTTTCATCGGAGTCTGGGACCGAACATATGGTAGCCTCCTCGAGTATGCCCGGCGACGGAACTTCTCGTACCTAGACTCCCTCATCTGAGCAGAATGTGCGGTCACTGTTAATAATCTTCTTTTGGCTGTGCAGCTTTTTGGATGATATTTGTGTGAGTGCGTAGACAGAGCATGGTGCACTGGGGAGTTCCATTTTGTGAGGGTGAAATATTGTATAATGTATATAAGTCACTAGAATTGTTGATGTCTAGTAAGATTTTAGTTGGCACAGAGCTTCTCATGCTCAAAACAAGCTCTCCTTTCTGCAGAAGACCCTCTTCCAATTGGCATAACCTCCATTGTCATAGCTTGAATATAATCTATACAAAATACATGCTGAAGAGTATTTCTAATAAAATCACCTCTTCTAATGAGGCATTAGACTCATAATAGCTAGATTGCCTCTCTCAAACTTAGAAATTTGTTGCATTTGTCACAAAATGCTTCACCTAAGCGCCAGTTGAGGTTACGTGTACTATTCGCTGATGAGCATTTATCATGGACTCTTCACCTTAATCATTTGTCTTTGATTATAATTAATCATATTCGACCACTCAAATTTTCTCATAAAATCTGCATTTATGTTAAAGAGCAAATGACTGCCCAAATTCTTAACGGTGCTTAGTTTTTTTTATTATGATTATTCGTTTTAAGATAAGATAACTTCTTTTTTATCTTTTAATCCTGCGCAACATGCGGATGCATGTCTATTTTATCGACATTTGTTGATTTGATTGTAAGACGAAAGGACCAAAGCACGGACTTGGTTGGACATGGAAGATGTTAACGAAATTCGGTGTCGACTCCCACCGGTCGTGTAGTAGTTATCAGTAATGATTACAATGTTTGACCCGTCCATCAGATTAACGGGGGTCTCAAATTAGCTCCAATATTATCTACCGAGAAAAACTCTGGAAGCTTATGAAGAAACAACGAGTTCTTAATGATCATGTGCAAAGACTCCCACATGATTAAGAAGACAATATCCAATGGAGACAATAAAAGAATTACACACCACATCGCTAATCGGAAAATGCAGTTTCTTTGGGACGGGGTGTCAGCGATTCGAGTTAAGTTGAGCTGATACGGTGCCAAGTTCGAGCTCGCCTCGACTTGCCTATTTGATGCTCGAAACCCAGTTGGAGCTCGATCGAATATCAAAATTTTTTGTCAAGCTTGAGTCTATTCGATCGCCATCTATTTATAGAGGAACTCGCGTTCAACGTCAAAGGTCTAATAGCAAGTTTGAATAACGTAGGTATACCTTGAAATTTTTTTAAAACCTTAGAGGTGCTAGATGTATATACCTTCTCTAACTCCTTAAATTCGATCTAACTTTCTCTATTATTTTTTATCGTTGGAAGATGAACTGATACTGTTTGGTTTCCTCTTCTCTTCTCCTTGCCGGCTTAGGCGCCACATGGAACGAAAAATCTCTCATCCGAAAAGGGCCAATCAAATCCGTCCACGTCACCTCCCAAAATCTCTCTCTCTTCAATTTCCATCCTCACAACCTTTCTCTCCTCACCCCTCCCACCTTTTATCATCATATCATATCATATCAATCCTATCCCCTCCACTCCATCTCTCTCCCTCCTCCATTGCTTCCACCCACAACCCTCCGCACACTCACCAACATTTCTCCGACGATGGCCGCCGCATCCTCCGCCGTCTTCTCTCTCGCCGCCGGCGCCACCTCGAGGCGCCACGACAGCGGCCTCTCTCCCGCCAACATCTCCTTCCAAGGCCTCAGGCCCCTCGCCAACAAGGCCACCAAGGTTTCCTCCTCCTCCTCCGCCGCCGCCGCCGCCGCCGCACCGAGGCGGTCGGGGGCGATACGGGCGGAGCTGAGCGCGCCGGTGGTGATAAGCCTGAGCACGGGGCTGTCGCTGTTCCTGGGGAGGTTCGTGTTCTTCAACTTCCAGAGGGAGAACGTGGCCAAGCAGGTGCCGGTGCAGAACGGGAAGACCCACTTCGAGGCCGGCGACGTCAGGGCCCAGGAGTACGTGAACCTCCTCAAGTCCAACGACCCCGTCGGCTTCAACATCGTGGACGTCCTCGCCTGGGGCTCCATCGGCCACATCGTCGCCTACTACATCCTCGCCACCAGCAGCAACGGCTACGACCCCAAGTTCTTTGGTTGAACCCCGCTCCCCTCGCGTGGTTTTGTCGTAATTCAGTCACTAAAGTCAAGAACCCGTATCTGTATAGCTTCTCTTATCATGGATTAGTCGCTCCTCTATATTAGCTTGCTTTCTTCCAGCTCCTCTCGTCAGCTCCTTCTGTTGGAATCCTACTGTGTGAACCGTGAAGTTCTGCGATTCTTTTCTGCGATTCAGTTCTCTGTGTTAAGGTCCAGATATGATTTTGCTTTGGGATCGATTTCAGCCTGGCCAAGTATGAATTCATGATTACATCATTGACAGGGTTTACTTGTATAGAAGTTTCGTCACGGTTTGGTCTCCTCCTTTTGAAGAAAAGAAAGAAAGAAAAAAAATACTATACAAAAGCACGTATTGAGAATTGACATGTCTGACCGCAAAACTTACATTTTCTGAAGCATACGAGTTAGTTTTGACTAATTAAATGAACCCAAATAGCATATTGTCAAAATAAAAGTTGTTATTCAAAAACATAATTATTAGGTCGCTAAATCTCCGGTAGACTTTCGCATAAAATTAAATTGAATTTCTTCGTTTGTGCAACGGTTTAGATTCATGTCCTAAAACGATCACAATTTCTTCGTCTGTCTATTTTCTATATGCCGTTTTCGCTTGGTGTAATGTTAAGTGACACGGGTAGCCCGTCTTTACGATTAAAAAGATATTTTTCTTTGCGAAAATAATTGAAGAGCGATACTTTTTTATGGAAATTTTATAGGCATGCGTGAGTAAGACGGGGATGACGGGAGACAACGAGAATAGTCAAAGCTGAGACTTCGTAATTCATCTGATCTCGGGTCAATGGTTGGCTTAGGAATCTCGGTTGATGAATTACATTGAATTCCAGCTTTGAGTTTGATTTTGCATTTGGACCAAAGAAGGGAAAAGCTCGTAAAAGAACTGAATTGCTCATCGATTTAAGTTATGTATGTGCACGAGGATTGAGTGATGGTGTTGTTATATGTGTTCTTTCAACTCGTCGGTGTTGTTATTGTTATCGTATCTATACGGAAATGGTGCTTGGGAGACTGAACCTAGGCGCGCACCGCCTTTTGACAAAGCGGTAGCTACTAGGGAAGGAAATCTTGGCGTGTGCTCATCACCACCGATGATGATACGAGATTCGGTGATCGGCCGCCGGACAAACCCGTCTCTGTGGAAGCGAGTCTCTACAGACTGTACAAAATTGATTTATCTTTCGATTGTGCAATTAGCATACTTATCTTGAAGTTATGTACCTCTTTTTCGCGTGAAATAAAATCTTTCTTTCGACCAAAAAAGAAAAGCGCGTCGGACATGGTGTCGTGGTCCAATCAAGTTGATTCCTATCTTATGGATCGAATGGGGTTATTACGATTTTCTGAAGGCACATAAGATCAATTTAGGAAGATTACACATAACAAAACTACACGGTTTGTTTGTTATACAGGCTAATCAAATCTCCGATTCGAAATTTCGAAATTGCTAATCGGATTGACTTTATCCATGCTCGATTTGTACGTAATTTTAAAGCGAAATTGAGTCCCAACAGTACTTAGCTCCACCCACGTAGCTGTCAAATACGTGAAACCCTCTTTGGAAAAAAAATACTTCAACGTGTGTCCCTATTGCTTTCTTCTTAATCACATAAATAGAAGTGCTTACGAGTCGGTATCAACATATGGGTCTAATTCAATCCGACTAGTAATTGAGGGTGCGTTTGTTTGCGAAAAATGGACGACTTGCAAAACATTTTCATAAAAACAATTGCTTATATTGCTGATAAAAATGAACGAACGAAAAATATTTTCATTATCCACAAAAGTATTTACACATATATTATTGTTGGCGACTAAAATATTTTTTATCGGTCAACTGTTTAGAGTGATATAAGCGATCGTTTTTTAGAAAAATATTTTTTCGAATCATTCATTTTTCATGAAACAAGCAGAAATCTAAGCAAAGACAGAGGGTTCGAACATTCTCCCATCCTATGACTTCCCAAGGTGGTAAGCTAGGCATGAAGTAAATAATCTCAAATTAAGGGGTAAATATGGACATCGGCTAAGAAGCTGAAGTGTCAAAGTGGAAACCGCGTGGAACAAAGTATAATTAGAGGGCAAATTTTTGTCCTCCTTCTTTTGGTATTTTTTTTCCGTTGGTAATTGACATCTTATGTGCCTTTAAATAAGGAAACCGTGCATGTGGAATCGTGGATTGCCATAGTAATCTTATGCTAATTGTGTATCCCATACCATCATATGGATTCCTTGGCTTTTTTTCTTTATAATTTATCAGTAAAGAGGCTTTGCGAATTCACTAGGCTTATCGCCATAAAAGAAAAGAAAAAAAGATCTACAATTCAAGGGATATTGCGGAGAGATTCTGGAGTTTGAGCATTCTTAAAAAAAATTAATTTGAGGAAAGTGCGACGTACCCAACAAGATAATCTCAATCTTTTATTAATCCCCAAAAAGATCCTTTTCTAATTAGCGAGCAAAATCACCAAGGAGAGGATAATTGCCTCGCAAGTCACAACTCCTTCTTGCTTGATTGGATATTTCTCTCTCTCTGTCTCTCTCCCATTTCTCCTTTTTTTGTTTTCTTCCTCTTTCTTCTTCTTTTTTTTTTTTTTTTTTGGTTATTATCATTTTCTTGGTCTTGGGGAGATAGAAAGGAAGGAGAGGGTTATGACGCGTTGGAGAGAAGATGGTCAAAGCAAAAGGAAGGGGGGGGGGGAGCTCGGGGAGTGTATGTGTGTGTATTTATGGGAAAAGGAGGGATTCTGAGAAGAAGGTGAAACGGAATGAGAGGCCGTAGGGGGAAGACAGAACGTGACAGTCAATTTATTTTCCTTCCTCGACAGCAGTTTTCAAGATTGCACAAAGAAGGAACCTTTTCAACACTGCAACTCTTGGCTCAACCCTCCTCCTCCTCCTTATTAACCATCAACCTTCGTCTTTGCTTCTGCTTCTTAGCTTCTCATGTGGGTTTCTTTTCCTTAGCACGATCACCTGCTTCGGAATCTCTCTCTCGATGGCTTTTGGGATTTGATCTGGGATTTTATGTGAATGTGAGCTGATTTGCCGTTTGGTTTTCAGCGATATCTTCTGCCGGGGGTCATCTTGGAGGCCAGCACATTCAAGAGGGTATGTTCCTTACCAGCTAAGCGACCTCTTCTTGATCTAATGATCTCTTTCTTGTTTTTCTTCCCTCTCTCTCTCTCTCTCTCTCTCTCTCTCTCGTCGGCTGATCGATTTAAGGATGTTCTTTTCTCTGGGTGACCTAGTTTTTCTGTACCTTTGTTAAGTATATTCTCTGACCAGTCAATTTTCTTGTTTGCTGCAATATCTCAGAGAGAGAGAGAGAGAATCAACACTGAAGCTTCAGTTTTGATATATATAGCTGGTCTCTTTGCTCCTCACTTCTCTGGTTTCTTTCTCTCTCAAGTCTTCAATGGAGGAAGATCTTCAACAAGAGACTAAGCTGATGGCTAGCAGCCGCGTGTTCTACATCAAGCTGAACATCCAAAAAGCTCAGTCCAGCAGTGAAAAAGACGGCGGCGACGGCTATGAGGAAGAAGAAGACGATGCGGAATATCCGGCGGCAACTGAGTCGACTTCTCGGGTATGCGTGTTTTGCAGGAAAGGGTTTAGCTCAGGGAAAGCCTTGGGCGGTCACATGAGAATTCACGTTCAGTCCACCAAAAAGCCTGTTCGCAAGAAGATTCACAGACGGAAGTTCAAGAGAAGCCGTAGCAACAACGACAGCCGGGGGAGCTCGGCCACGAACGATCACCGGACTTGTGTGATTTGCGCCAAGAGTTTCCCTTCGATGAAGTCCTTGTACGGGCACATGAGATCGCATCCCGAGAGGGACTGGAGGGGAGTTCAGCCTCCTCCAGCCACCGCAGCCAAACAAAGCTCATCATCCACTGTCTCGGATTCAGTGGTCGTTCGGAAGACGGACGATGATCAGATTGTTGGTTTTGATGATGATCCTAAGGAGAGGAGCTCAAGTGTTGTTGATCTATCAAAATCCGTCCCTGGATGGGGGGTCACCTCTAAGAGAGGCAAGAAAGCTGGTACACCCTCTGTCACCGGCTCGGGATTGGGGTCCGGTTCAGGCTCAGGCTCAGGCGAGGGTGTGGGTTTAGACGCACAGGTGCAAGAAGCTCTTGTGATGCTTGCTAATGGGAATCCACCGGGTAGAGTCTCGCCATTGATTAAGCCCAGAACTGAGGCAACAACTGATGACAAGGATGAGCATAAGATGGAGGAGAATTACGAAGCCAATTGCTTCATAGATTCTTATTCTGGTATTGAAGCTAGAAACTGCATTGAAATAGCAGAATACAAAGAACCGGAGGCCGTTTCAGAAACTGGGTTAAAACCTAAAGAGCCTGTAAATATAATGATGAACTGTGTTGAAGAAGAGCAGGTACAATGTTCCTACTATGAACTTTTCCGCAAGTTGAAGAAGCGGAGAAAGATCAAAAGGCTCAGAAACTTGGAAGAAGTACATGCTGGTAATGATGTCCAGAATAGGATCATCGATCCTGTGACACCTGTTAGGTTCAAGTGCAGTATTTGCAACAAGTCCTTTTCAAGCCACCAAGCCTTGGGTGGTCACAAGTCCAGCCACAACAAGCCCACCAAGAACAGTCAAACTATCACAAGAGATCGTGAATCCATGGGGGCGGAGTCCTCGGCAGTACGTGAAAGTTACAGGCTTAATGCAGACTTGAGTACCTCGTCTAGCCAAGCGGCTAATCCGCCCGGCGCAGCCAGCGAGACGAGCGGCAAAGTCCTGGATTTCGACCTCAATGAGTTCCCACCAAAGGAGGACGATAAGGAAGGGGTTGTTGGTCTTGGTGCTGATTCTGGGCCTTGTGGTGTCTGAACCATGTTTTGAGGAGCTGGTTTTTGTACATTTTCTCTGACAAATTCGGTTTAGCAAGAAGCGACTTTTAAAAAGTTCAGAACTTTGATATTCCTAGGAAGTGTAGAGAAAGTTTTCAGGTCATCGGTGGGAACTCAAGTTTTGAGCTTTTTCTGATAGTTTTTAGCTTTTTTGTCCTTTTCTTCTTGGTGATGGTTTATGGTGTTGGGAACAATTTGGGGTCTTTGAGGAACCCTCTTGGTTTTTTCTTTATTTTCTTAAAGTGGGGTCTCTTTCCGGGTCATATCATATTTGTCCACTTTTGTGTTTTTATTTTTCTCGACCTTCATCCCAGGCTTGATTGTACAGCCAGGGGAAAGATCCAAACTGACCCGCTAGTGTTGATGACGTTGAGAAAGTTTACGCAGAACAGAAATATTTATGTATGTGATACTAGTTTACTAAATTTTTTCTGGTGTTGTTATTCACCGTTGATGCATTTATATTGGCATGTGATTTGAAAGATTAATTGAAGATTATTGCAAGGCCGTGAGGAAAAGCAATGAGAAGTGGAGGCCCCGAGCAGAGGAGATGTCGTGCTGGGAGGAAAAAGATGTGATTGAAGTCAACCACCAATGGGAACGAATGTGTGCATTTTTGAGTGAAGCACAAGAAATACAACTTTCCTTGTGCTTAGGTTTTTGTGAGTTCGCACTTTTTGTCAAGAGAACTTTTGTAGGAAATACAGGAGAGTTCCACAACTTTGCAATCTCCATCAAATAACTGCTGGTGGGGCCAGTTGAAAAGGTCTTTGCATACTGACAGAGATTGAAGAATTGTTTTTTCTTTATTGAGAAAGTACTTCTTTAAGCGTGATCTTGTGACTCGGAGGGAGTTGGAAGGAAGGAACCACGGTTCACCCAGGAAAAAAGTGAATATGATAATCGAAATGGGCTTTCTCAGTTCTAGTCGTTTTGTATTTGTATTTTAATCCTCTCCAAAGTGTCAAGCTTTTGATGTTGTGGATCAAGTTGATGCAGTTGGTGCCTACTCATATGACCAGATCATGAGAGAGAACAAGGACAGATACCAGAAACACCACACAACGTGGTTAGACTCAGAACCCGGAGTGATCTTGATGTTCAGCAAACTGCTTCCCAGTTTTCCAAAATCAGAAGAAACCACTCGCTGTCAAGGGAACAGAAACGAGATCATCAAAATTAAGGTAAAAAAAGGGAAAAAGTAAACGGAACTGTTGGATGATACTCTAATACGAAAGAACCAAAAGCATGTACCCATGATTTGCAGCATTGCAGCAGCTCTTTGTATTACAAACCGGACTCCCATTCCCACGATAGACATAAGATCTTCTCAGAAGACAGTATTGTGTGCGTTGATGTGAATGGTAGATTATTGTGTGGATGGATGATGCATGAGTGCTATAAAAGATGGGAGCCAAAAAGAGATGGCTCACCTGTCTTCATGGCACATTCACGTGACTATCAGAAAGTGGCTTTGCAGAGTACTAAAGCTCCCCCCCAACGCAAGAATGCAACAACAGAAAAACAGTACACTGAAATTTCAACTATATTAATTCGGCTTTCGGACATCTAGATCTCTCTCGCGCACCTCAATTTTTCAGACGATTCGTGCGCGTGAGGGCACCGTAAAACCGTGGCGCCAGGTTCGATGGTAGCGAGCAAGGCATGTAAATAAGACTCGACTCGAGGTTGAATTCCCAAAATATGAAGGAAAAAAAAAATACTTGGAAACATTATTCACGTAGAGAATATCAGACCCATCATGCCCATGTGCGATAATTTCCTTTGGCAAACATCCAGTTAGCACCTTGGAACCACTTCAGAATTGGTTGATATGATTTATATAACTGAATTTCTTTTGGGTCTTTTTTATCCACCTTCAATGTGAACTTGTAGTTCTAAAAGCAAAGCTCTTCTTGCATTAAGAAGCATGATATTGACGTTTGCTTATGGAACGCGAGTTCCTCGTATTCAATTGAGATATTTTGCGCATTTCGTCAGCATATATTCGAGTGTGAATCCACGTTCGACATGATATGGAATTGCAATTTGACCGGTAAGTAGAGAGGAAGAACTCGTCAACAAATGTTTGCAAACTTGTACTCGATGACGCCTGAGGTGACTTTGAGCTGGAGGAGGGCAGTGCTACTTTGATTTGTGTTTGGTCAATGTTTTTATGGACACGAGCGAGACCTTGGAGACATCAAAACGCCGCTTCATTCATGGTTGCATGAAGTCCAGCCTCATCGGCCCCATGGCCGATGGCCTCGCTAGCCCAGTCGCTGGCAAGGTCGACCTCACCCAGCGACGATGAGGTCGAGCCTTGCGTGGCAGGCCGGTGAGGGTCACCGGCGACCTTGCCGGCCACAATGAAAAAACAGAAAAAAATAATAATAAAGAATTATAAAAATTGTTCACGTTGTCTCTAGCGGCACCACGTCAGCTATTTCCTACCAAAATTAACCGAATGGACTAAATTGGTACAAATACAAAAGATTTAGGGCTGAATTATCACAATTTAGGTTTATGACATTTTTTGGTAATTTTCTCATTGCGTGGATGACATTAATCATGTTACCGAATTCATCAGCATGTCACCCATTCAATGGCGAATGTATTAAATATTATCTACGCGTGTAGCGAATTTGATATTATTCCGAATGTATAATAAAAAGTCTCATCTAATCTGGGATTATAGATTGTTATAATTTAACTTTCCTCATTACCAGAATAGATTTTGCCGTTTTCTCCGCAAAAATAGCAAAATAAATTACCATTAATTTATTGCTCCTCATCTTTCTTTTCTCTCTTCATTATTTTCAGTATTTACTTATAACTCATTCGCATTTAAGAAATATTTCTTATTTTAGCATAACAATATAATTGAAAGTTTTTGCCATATTAGTTAGTAAACCAAAAGCTTTTACTATCTAGATGCACTTTCGAAATAGTATGATACTTATGATACATAATTCATATTATGTTTGTGAATTTTTATTTTTACACTAATTAGTTGTTTCGTTATTTCATAATCAAATTTTATGTGTACTATCACAACTAATGACTCGTATTTATACTAAAATATTTCATGCTCTAATTATATTACATTTTTGCATGACAATCCGCGTAAACGCAAGCCTAGTTTTTAATTTTATATATGATAAAGGGTTAAAGTCAATTATAAACATTTAGCGTCGTAAATCTACCATCATTATATTATCACCTAATAAAATATAAAGTATCTCTCTAGAAGGCAATAAAAAGAATCTAATGTCTAAGCGCTTTTCGATTTCTAGATTAATAAACAAGTCAACAAGACAATTTCCTTCCCGAAAATTACCTTTCATTTTGAACTTAAAAGTTAGAGTTCAACAGTCTTCGATATCTTTTCAAACAAAGCTGAGCCGGCATTATCAATGATAAACTCTGAACTAACAAGATCATTGATAGCTTTATATTATGGTCAATCTCAATGATGATTTTGTGAAAACCAAGATGTTTTGCAAATTTGAGTCCTAACCATAATGTCTAAAAGTTCTGCTTATATTGACGAACATGTTCCACGAAGGTGGCAAAACCACCGAGCCAATCACATCCTTCGTCTCTAAGCACCAGCAAGTTCTGAGTTTGTCTTCAGAGGGCGCATCGATATTCAGTTTAATCCACTCTGATGGTGGGGGACCTCATCTGATCAAAATTGGAGAAGACGGGCAGCTAGTTTAGTTTAATACAATTATGACCCCCAAAAGTCCCAAGTCAGCTTTTCGAACGGAAAGCTTCAACGGTAACACCAATAAACAGACAATCAGGCTTGAGATAACTCGGATCGCAACCGCTTCAAGTTAAGCAAAGTCCCACAGCACAAGTCACAGAATTCTCACATATCTTCAAATTTGTTCACCACTGCATTTTTCACACTGCATGAGAATCCAAAAATCTAAAAATCTTGATATCGATCAGAAATTGCAATGTACAGAAACTGACATCGACCATAAGCTCAGGAGCACCTTACCCACCTCCTACGCCCTCCCATAACACTGCCCAACTGGCGAATTACAGAAAAAAAGGAAAAAGAACCTAAAAGCAAAAAAAAATAAAAGAAAGCGACATGCGCGGGAAAGGATGAATAAACTCGACAAGCTAAATACTAAAAAAACAAAATTTGGAGTTATGGAACTTCCATATGAATGCTTAAGATACACGAGGGCTTCAAACTTTAAGTTCAAGTTGGAACAACCTCCCCGGCTTGGGGCGAGATCTGCACGATGAACCACCAAAAGACCAGCACAAACAAAACTAGCTGTATAACGAAACAAGAGGACACCTTGCACGCTCCCCTCTGCAACTTCCAAACTTCTCCAACAACTTCGATGTCTTCACATGCTTTCACTAGATCCTCCGCTTGCTTCTTTAGCACAGCAGCTTTGCTTTCTGCTTCACTTTCACTTGCACGCTGATCATCTCCCTCGTTTAAGAGCATTAGTTCACTCTGTGCATCGACCTTCAGCTTCTGTATTGTCCTAGCTATCGCCAGGTACTCCACCTCAGCTTCAATCTTTTGCTTGAAGAGACACTCGAGCTCCGTCTCCATCTCCCTGCATTCTTCTTGCTGCAATTCCAAGTTGCTTTCCGGTTCTTCCTTCACTGACTTGCGACTGTTGATAGAATCTTCTAGCTCAGAAACCCTAGATTCCTTCACCTTGAGCTCAGCCTTGGTTTCCTCCAATTTGGCCTCTAAGAGTTCCACATTCTCTGTCAAGCTCAGTATCTGGATTTCTAATAAACCTGAAGCATTCTGGCTGGTCTGCTTCAAGTCAGACTGCTCTTGAAGGACAGTGCCACCATTAGAGGAGCCATTGCTTGCTAAAATAGGGTCCCTACCTATCTCTGAGAACTTCTGAACTTCTGAAAAAGCATAGAAAAGACTTTGTTAACAACAATCTTTATGCTAAAACCAAAACCTGTCAACTCAGACATGTCTCAGGACCAATTTCTTGAACTCACTTGGCAATTAAGTTTTTCTCCATTCTAAGAAGCATATGCATTTCTTAAACTTTGCTAAATTCTAATCTCCCAGATATCACATGCCAAAATAGATATATAGTTTCATGAAGCACACCAGTCTTGCTCAAAGCCATCGTGTAAGTCTAGGTTAAGAAATCTATCAGCACATCTGATAAAAGCAGACCAATAGATCCTCCTTCAAGCCTGCCATCAGGCAGAATGACATTAAAACAAAGAAACTAGATAAATGAATCATCTACCATCAAATAACATAAAAAATCAGCCATCCCAGAGAACATAATCTACCATATATTGGAAAAGATGGGTACATCACATATTAATAAATTTATGATTTTTGCTGGTTTTCATTTTTTTTTTTATGAATTGTATATAATCACAATAACGTAACCCCATTTATCAGAAACGTCAAGCAAGAAACAACTATACCCAGTTGCATAACAAAATTATATAGCACATTACGTGGATTGGAGTGCACACATCAGACTTTATCCTATGACCAAGTAATGAATTATCTACTGCATTTTGATAATTAGATTCCGCAAAAAAGTGTATCATGCTTGAATCTAACTGGATCAGAAAAAGGAGGGATCCTAGTCGTAAGATTATCTAAAAAACCCGTCACTGGAATTGAGATCTCAGTGAAAGAGAAAGATATCAAATGTATGGGAATTCTTTTTGTATATTATATGGATGATCCGATCTGCAAGGACCATGAGTGACAAATTTTGGATCATTTTTTCTCTGAGTAAGAGGCGGAACATGATTCTATAGAAATTCATGCTTAGGCACCTGCGCATCACTATTCGTTGTAACCTCTTTTACATTCCAAAAAGAAATGCGCTCCTTTTCAAATTCTCTACACTACACTTTCTAACCTGGGCGTGCATCAGAGAGAGGTTAGAATCAGGTCAAGGAAACGGGCAACGTTTGTTCAATGCTAGCATTTTTTTCATCTGCTCTTGATGTCAAAAAGTGGAAGAGAAAGGAAAGGCATTCTGTCATCATGAAGATTCTGGCAATAGGTTCAATATATTGAAAAGTCACAGTAGATATGAAGAAGTTACCGGATGTCCGGAGAACTGAAAAATCCGCAGGAAAGTACTAGTTAAAGTTTGTGAAGGAGCAGAGCGGTTGGTGACATATGGAGGTAAAAGCATCATACGAGCGTCGATTGAAACAGTGGGATATTCACCTTGTTCAAGTGCTTCCTGTAGAGATTGTAGGGCATTGATAGACTCAATTAAAGAATTATGATCTGCAGAGGACCGATTGCTCTCCCGTTTCTCCTCCCCAGCCTCCCAAGACAAGTCCACAGCTGAATCATCTTGTGAGAAATCCTCAGCTTCCCCAACATTTTCAGCGGGGTAACCAGTCTGAACTTCCTCACTGAAGTGATCCCCCATGTGGGCTTCATCACTATTTGCTGAGTAATAGTTCATTGCCGTTCCACTCTTCTTACCATTACTGGCATAAGCACCCTGCATAAAAACAGAGCTTGAGCTTCTTAAGTCAGATTCCACGCTGGAATGAGAGTTTTCCTTCTGGATTTTGACCCTTTCTCCTCTAGGCTTCTTACTGATTTCAATTCGACCCTTATTCTGTTGAGCATCTTGAGATGAACCACCTTGACTCTTCCCAATCAGATTCTTCATTCTGTTCCTTTCCCGGACATACCCAAAGGCCCCACTGAAGTCATGTTTAGCCTTTGGAGCACTAGCAGCTGTAGATGATTTGCTGCTTCGATCCTCACTGTTGTCAGAATCAGCACCAGCCGTAAAAACAGGTGCAGCTGCAAAATTGGATTCCAAAGTAGAAGCATGCGCTGCAGGGCCATCAGCATGACCCAGGTTTCTAGTCATACTTGTCGATCCGACCGAACCCTCACTATCTTTCATAACCTCGACAGAAACCCGTTCAGCAGAAAAACGCGAAGAACTGTTTTGGTTTCCTACACCATTTAAACCTCGCTTCAAAATCTTACTAGAATCTAAATGAGCACCCCCATCCTTGACAAAGTCTCTCCTGATCCTTCTCCATTTCTTCAATCCGTAACCTTTTCTCGCCGAGGGAGTCACTCCACTAGGAGACTGAGCGGTCGAGGGCGGCGAAGCATCCGGTTCCGCGATTTGTTTGCGTTTCTCGATCGAATCAGGAGCCATCGCGCCGGCATCGAAATTCTCATCCGTGCCCGAGTCATCTAAATCAATGTTGTCGCAGGACCCATTATTCCTAACGTCGCTGCGATCCGAACGAGACCCTCTTTCCGGGGAAGCTTCGCAATCATCCGGAGATTCGAGGGTCGAGCACTCTCCGCGCGAATCCATCCCCGAAGCTCACCAATTCCCCGAAACCCAACTCCCCGGAATTCCCAAACAGATCAAAATCGAGAAAAACAAACTATCATTCCAGCTCATGGCCCAAAAATTCTAGCAAAAATCCGAGAGATCATCGACCGCGCAGCGAAAACCCCCGCGCACGCGCGATCTGAATCGAACCCCACCGCCGACTCGCGAAGCACCGATGATGATTCGGGGTGGGACCAATTCAAAAGCTCGAAACCAGCTAAGAAGAAAGGGATTGCGAATCCCCAGGAGCCGTACGGATCGTCTTAAAGAACCCAGCTCAACAAAAGGGAAACGAGAAGGGGATGAAGCGTACCTTCAGCTCCATAAATGAAGCTCGGGATCGAAGACCATGACGTTCGACGATTGGGAAATGATCAAATTCGAAGGGCATGGAAACCCTGCTCTATTGTTGGATTGGCAGATTTATAGCCATGAAAAATTGTCGGGGCAGGCGGAAAAAAAAATATAATATAATATAATAATAAACAATAAATGACGATAAATGATAAATTCTATATTAATGAGTCCCGAGAGTACGAGAATATTCTTTTAAAAAAAAAAGCAAAATTTGGGAAATTGAACGTGGGGTGACGTGGGACGGGCCCACGTCGCAGGTGGTGGCCCCCACGCGGCCGTCGGTCTCCATCGGGAGCTGCTTGGGGGAACTTGTTGGCTCGTGCCTCGGGGCGAAATTACTTCGGACAATCTTACGTGGTCGTCATTAATTTCTCCCGACGGACCCAAAAAAACAAAAAAAAATTGTCGGGCACTTAATTTAGTTATCATAAATGTGGCTTGGAAATCAATAGAGCCAGTACATGTACACCCGATCCTATTATTATGTTTTCGCAGACATCAATTTAGGAAAAATTCCAATTAAGGACCCCACTTGGGGTCCTTTTCTCAAAAGAGGACCCAAAGTGAATATGGTATCAAATAAGGACCTGAAGTGTTCAATCAGTATCAAATAGGGGCCCGAAGTACTCAATTTATCTCAGGTAAGGGCCTGGGTTCGCCGGCCGGTAAATCTCACGGCCACGAGGACAGATATCGTTGTTAAGAACCTCGAACAGACATTTCATCTCTATTTTCTTTTTCTTTTTCTCTTCCCTCCGCCGGCCGTAGCCGGGGCCGGTGGAGGTCGCCGGCCTCAGGTGGAGGCTGCCCTCGCCCGACGCCGGCGAGGGTCGCCCTGGCCCGGGCAGGCGGCGAGGGCGACCCTCGCCGGCGGAGGGCGAGGGCTCGAGCTCGCCGGCCATCCGGGCGAGCTGGGCCGGCGAGCTCGCGATCCGGGCTAGCTCAAGCTCGCCATCGGGCGCCGGCGAGCTCGCTGATCCGGCGAGCTCGCCGGCCATGGCACCCTCTCCCTCCCCTTCCCGCTCCAAATTCTCCCCACGGAAGCCCCTGCCAGAGTCCCCGGGCTCCGCCGCCAGCCCCGCCCCGCCCGATACGGCCCTCGACAACCCGGATCTCGGGCCCTTCCTCCTCAAGCTCGCGTGCGACACCATCGCCTCCTGCGACGGCTCTGCCAAGGCCCTCGACTACGCGATCCGGGCGAGGCCGGCCTCCCTCGAGCTTGCCCGGATCGGCGGAGCTCGCCATGGCGGCGGCTCGAGCTCGCCTCGGCGAGCTCGCCCAGATCCGGGCGAGCTCGCCGCCGAGCTCGCCCGGATGGCGGCGAGCTCGAGCTCTCGCCGGCCTCGCTCCGTCCGGTCGCCGGTTTGGACCAGAACCGGGAAGAAGAAAAGAAAAGAAAAAAAAAAGTGGACAAAATTGCTCCTATTCCGGTCTTGGGAAATGTCGGACGGCCCGGTCGGAGAACATTTACGGCCGCGAGCTCAGTCCTTATTTGATACTAGTTTGGCACTTTGGGTCCTTAATTGATACATTGTCCATTTGAGGTCCTCTTTTGAAAAAGGCACCCACTTTGGGTCCTTATTTGATAATTTCCCTCATCTTTATATTCGTGGTTTGATCTTTGTCGGTATTTCCAACGTCTGATTTTGCATCGCTGACGCGTATGATCGCTGAGGTCAGCGGCGATCCGACCGTTCGGATAAAATTTGAATCGAGATAACTGCAAAGTTGAGCTTTACCCGATAATCATTCGAATCACTAAAACATAATTACTGAACATGAAAAAAAGCGCGAGCAGTACACGAGCAAATATCGCATTGCATAGATTAAGTCCACTAAATCCACATATTTCAAAAATTTGTGGGACCCAACAGGTCAAATGTGCAACCCACGGTAGGTCCCACCGAAAACTAAACGTTCTCGGACAATTCGTAAACATCGATTCGTTCCATCTAGCATAATACTCATGGACTAAGTCCAAAAAAAATTCTACACGATATATTTCTCCATATGAAACGAACGCAAATTCACTGTCACAAAACTTGAATTTAGCAACCGCATCATAGCGTCCATAAGCATAGCAGAGGACATTGATGAAGATTTCAATGTCATACTCTTGGCCATTTTCAACTATGATCATCAAGTCCCTGACGATTTCTTCTTCATAAAAATTGTGACGGGCATCCTAACAAATAAAATATCACACGACATCTAGGAAAGTGGCGAACTCACTGGAATTGAGAAATCTTCATCTGATCTGACACTAATTTATTGCATTCCTAAATCTAGTAGGAGCTAAGTACAATTCAGGCTCGCCTCTTCATATACGAGGCTGTCTCATCTGTGCTACATATGTGTCAAGATCATCTTCGAGAAACTCAAGCTGGTACATGATTAATAGGAAGATAGAAGGCCATATTTAACGGATAAAACATTATTATATCGAGCGCAGAAATTTCCAACTCAGAAAATGACCACATGATACTGAATCACCATGAGAAATGTAGATTAAAGACGGGCTTCTGAAGAGGTTGGAAAGCACAAATTGGGGTAATCACAGATCTGTCCAGTTCGAAAAGTTCAGAGTATAGAGCCAAGCCCAAATTGGAAAATCTCCAACCAAACCTACCCCTCTGTCTCTGTTCTCCTCTTAACAAATTCATCAGCAACCCGTCAAAATCATCACTATTTTCCTTATAAAAGTTAGGGTAGAATTTTTATTTTGAGACGACTTCTGTATACAGATATCCAATTTGTACAAGAAAGACAGTTACTCTGTAGACAGTGACACAAATGCAAACTAACAAGGCAAGCAAATCAAGTTCCACATCATTTGATCCCCGAATTTATCTGTTCATAGTTCTGGAAGTATCCAGCCATTATATCAACAGTGGCTCGTGAAGCCAAGAGTTCTAACGGCGCTACTGCGAGGGCAAGCTTAGTTGCACCATGTCTTAGTGTTGTCTTATTCATAATGCACAAAACTTGTCAAAATTGTTAGGAAGCAGATCAGAACTGAGTTATTTCTGGAGACATTCTGAAAAGATCAAAGACGTGATGACATCAGAAAAAAAAAAATTGTCCTGCTTTAGCATTAAGCGCATAGGCAGGTTAATTTCGAAGGCTTCCCCTTGGAGATTGCTTTCACCATGAACCACAGAACGAAACAAACATCTACCATCACAGCTATACCGGTCCCAATCAAGCACATACATGGCATGCCATGTCTTTTCCAAACTCGATTGTTTTTTTAGTTGTCTTGATGTTCGAAACTCAATATAACAAACGTATGTTGCTGATATCCATATCAGAAATCATATGCAAGTACAGAGAGTCCTGCAGATGCACAACACGATCGACTGAGAACTTTGGGTTGGGGATGACAGGTAAGATTTACGTAAATTTTCAAGAGCATCTTAATTCATCATTAGATTTGTCTACTTATATAATATACCCCACCAGAACCACTGAGAAAGAGGTCCACAGCGGCAGCAGGAGATATATGATTTGTGATGTACTTGCACAGCAAACACTAGTCGGCATGATGAAGCAGATAGCCCATAACAGATTCAAGAGATAGCAATGAACTGCATACGATTTACATACCAGCTTATTTTATTCAGAGGAAATTGATGACTTCATTAGGACCTTGGTTCAAGTTAAAATGCAAGGCAAATCACGATGCACTTCAGCCTGTTCTGAGATCTGGAACCCATTTTTCAATCTTCAAATAGCAAAAATAAAATCAGCTGAAGATCAGACATCAGATTTTTGCATACTTTCATAAATGAACAACCTTCCCAATTTTTCCAGGTAGCCATCTCTTGAATTACTACAAAAACCAAAAGAAACGAACATTTAAACACACAAACCCTGACCATGGCCACTATCCATATGCTAATATGGCCAAAAATACCGGTGTAAGAGAAATCTATTAACCGTGCCAACACCACTAAATAAACTAGAAATCAATGTAATTGGTCCCCAGTAGATGCCCAACATGTTTAACAGGATGAAGATAAAGTCTAGCTCAGATCAACCATCCCTTGCCTTTGCTGCACTCCCCACCTGCACATTAAACCGGCCAGGAACCTTCATGTCGCTTTATTAACCCATTCTGTGCACAAATAAGGTCCGAGTCATCAGCCACCACTCAAACGGGCGCTTGATGGAGCAGCCATAAAAGAGCAATCTTTCAAGCCCTCTTAATGGTGGCCAAGCAGCTCATTGAAAGTTGACATGCATTTCCTCCCCCACTATGGCAAATATCTCACTGACTCTGTTGAGAGAAATAAAAACCATCAGGAACCATGAGCAGGGAATGCAAGCAAATCTCGGTCATGAGTTTATCCTTCCATGTAACCTTCTCTTCACAAGATTCTGCTATTAAAACTTCATACACAGCTCGCATGTCACTTTACATGAAGAATTCATCAGTGCCAAGAGACTAGCGCAGTTCATTTGATTTCTCGACACTAAACCGACAATCCAATATACAAAAGACATGTTGGAGACCAGACTTACCTATAAGTGTCTATGTTCACCTCAGCAAGCCAAGTAGTTAAGTAAACCTGCAATATTAGAGGATATTATGATTAAACTCTTGTGCAAAGGAAAAGTGTATAAGATTACTGCTGTAAAAAGGGATTATTTATTGTACAGCTAAGTCAATTTCAGTTTTATCTTTGTATAATGGTGAAACATCATGGAGTCGAGATGGTTTCCAAAAAGATTTGTGACAGCTCAACTCTCCCTCCACTAACATGGTTAGTAACTCAATCCTACAAACTAAGGACACCAAGAGGCAACTAGGACAAAACCACCATTCCAGTACCTAGTGACCTCTTTTAAAGCTACGTAGCAGCTGCAAGGCTTGCAAGCTCCCACACAAGAAAATAACAGAAGTACTGAAAGGAAATACTACTTCAGATGAAAATATGATGGCATTTGCTGACCAGCAAACTCATACAGAGTTGTGAGAATGTTGCAAGGAAAATTGTTTTATAAAATCAATCTCATGGGACTATTACCTGCAAAGTCTCACGGCTTA